GGGAGTGGTGCAACACCCTGAACTTCATGAAGCACTTTCAATAGCTGCACTTCTCATTCCAAGCGTGAGCACGTGCAACCATTACGTCTCACGATGCCGAACGGAGGCACAGAGTAAGGAGAAGAACCTTTATTCTTCCTTGCCTTACTCTTTGACCGTTCAATTTTTTTAAAAACTGTTGTTATGGTATGTTTTTCGGCTACCACTCCTTCAAATCCGCCATCTCGAGTGCGTTTGTCCTCACCTCCACAGGATGCCACAGCACGCAAGCTGGTGTGAGAATTGTTGACTAATTTTGGCGATGCTTAATCCTCGTCATATTACGAGTGGTGTCTTGGCTCCAGTCCGGAGCGCTACCTCAGCCTCGATGTCAACCGGAAGTTTACCGACAGTGGATGCCGACGCTTTGTTGAGTGCAAACGAGGGTGACAGCGCTGTGCAATCGTCACCCACTCATTTGGTCGGTATAAAATAATTTCATATTCACCATCAATACTCTGCCCAGTCCGAATCATCCAGTGGATTGACGGGAATAAATTGCATACTATGTTATCTTACACTCATTTGATATTTTTCCCATTTGGTCTCTGCTTAAGGACTGTTTGATTTTGTTTACCAGTTCGTAGTCATGTCTTGTCTCCACTTCCCACAAACAGTTTGTTTAATTCAAAACAAATGTTTGCATATTTCCCATCGCCTGTCCAAAGTCCTCCTTCCTTCCTCCCTTCACTTTGGCCATGCTCGGCGACTTTGGCCTAATCGGTGACAGTGTCTTGCATAAGGCTACACAGACTACTTCCCTTCATGTGCCGACGAAGACATTTCTTTCTATACCAAAGGAAACTCTCAAACATTTTCTCCTTTTCCTTTGTGCACGATGGCACCTTTGAGCTGAGTGTTTACGGCACAGTGAATGAAAGGAGGCCGATTATTTTGGCCACGACAGAGGGCAGGAGTCTTTTGTAAACAGCCACCATATTTGCTAGAGTGCTTAAGACTCCAAGAATTTGCTAAGAATGTCCGTAATTAGACTCTCATAAGGTACTTCAATGCATCACGAACATCCGTGACAATTGTTGACCAAATGAAGACCTCCGTGACACTTATAATTCCACTGTGGTTAAAACGCATTACGTGACCTGAAAAAAATCAGAGGAGTACCTTCTACGATCCCTAGAACCAACTAAAACCGCATACTTTGATGTACAAAACTCGGTAGCACATCTACTTCTTAACTTCCCTCCACCTCTCCCTTCCTCCCTTCCCGAAGCAAGGGCATTGGTCAGTAGACAACAAACCTGGCATCAAAGAGACTACATGGAGATAGCGGCGACTCCAATCCACTCAAGCTTATCTAAGCAGTGAATAAGCGTGCATAATTCGTCGGTAAAAAGATAATCAACCACCGAGTCTTCAAACACGACGTGTGGCAAATCCAACGCGGATGCGTGCATGTGCGATGCCAGTGTGGTGGAGAAGGAGCTTTCATAAAGGCGGCGACGTCGGCTGCGGTGGTGGTGGTGGTGATGATGATGTTCTCTCGTCACCACACTGCTTAGCATGCAAGGCTTTTGTACAAAGGCTGAACGGATTGCACAGAGTTAATTCATGCTTTGATGGAGGCAAAAACCCCACCGAGTGACCGGTCGGTCTGTTCATCAGTCGGATGAATGTATATCGTAAGTTAAGGGCGTAAAGCATGTGTGAAGAAACAAGTAACTCTAAACAACTGGGCCATCAATCCTCGCGTTTTATTTGGACGTTTCACTGGTTCCATGGAACACTTATCTTTTGACACAATTGGTGCAATTTTTCAATGTCAAAGTGGGATTTTCCTTGGTATTAATCACACTCGAACAATGTACGGCGTAGGGACCGGAAATAGCACCGTTACGGTAGGACCATTTTAAATCACTCCTCCACATGAACAGTCCAGTCGACTTGAATCCAGTTTTACCTACAACTTTTCAACATTCTACTTTGGGTGGCGTGACAGAGGGCTGGCAAAGCAAAAATAAGCTTTTAAATTTTCCCACTTCTTGTCTCCATAATGGCGTCTTTTGACAACGTTTTCTTTAATCACGACACGAAAGGAGGCGAGAAAATTGTCGTGCCATGCTCAAACAGCGTGGCCTTTGGTACGGGACGAAAAAGGCGGAGCGCCATTGAGACATTCAATTAGACTGACTCCTTTCCCTCTTGCAGTGTTCTGGCGGTGGTGTTTGTCCTTTTTCTTCTTCCGTCGAATGAAAAAGCGCATCTAAAAGTTGTTGGTTTGCTTGTTTATGAGAATATAAATTTATGGCTCTTAACGTGCTGCTGTCAAGGCGACGGTGGTAATGGAATGGCAGTGACACCCTTTTTTTCCTTTCCTACACTGCTAATGCCCGCAAACTTTTTACTTTCATACAAATTTAAGGAGACCGGATACAAATGGAGTGAATTAGAATAACCTCGTCCCACGCCTCGTCAAGACACGTTCTTTAAGCTCTACCGCAGATCAGATGGTAGAAAATTACGCATCCTGGAGACCTTTTTGGTGCCGGAAAACACAGTTACTAGTAGCCAAATAAATTCCTGCAAATAATAGCAGTTATCGGTGCCTCTGTTTTTTTTCTTCTCCATTAACAAAAAAGGCGCCACATCTGCATAGAAGTAGAGGTGGATAATGAAGCAGACTCGTTTTTCTGCTTCTTCTCCTTCTTCCTCTTTTGTCGGAAGGTCGTACAATGGGGCGAGACCCGCTGATACCGCCCAGTGATAGGTGCTTTAGCCTGTTCTTTGGAGTTAAAGGAGGGAGAAAATGCATGAGAGGATACACCATCCATCGCATCATTGGAGTGGAAAGAAAGGAGAACAGAGAGAGAGAGAGAGAAAGAGAGCGTTTACTCAGCATGTCCTGCCTAACCCCTTTGTTCCAGTGCCTGTGTTGTCAATTTGGTTCTGAATAATTTTCTTTGATCTCTTTCAAAAGCAAAAAAAGCAATTCTCAGAGTCTCCGCCTGATACACTGACATATTTGCACATGCAACTGAAAACGGCCCATGAGAGAGAGGTTTATTTGGCCTGGAAAAATCCTCCACTGGTGTGTAGAGGGACTGCATCAAAGGTGACAGGACTGCTGCCCATAACTACTGCTCCCATCATTTAGAAGGCAATCAAGTGGGAGGAGATGGAGAGGGAAGGCTAAAGATGCTACACACAATTTGATACCATGAAAAAATGAGGTAATTGAGAAGAGGATAATATGTGCCTGCCGCTTAAAACACCACCGATTTTTTCTCCCTTTACCAATTCACCATTGAGATGCGAGACAAAAAAGGCAATTCATTGAGAAAAAACATTACAGTAGCTATGGATTAAAAGCATTCATCCCAAGCGGTGGTTTGGGTCCTAAACCATTCTGTTTAAAGTGTGAATTTGTGAAAGAAGAAAATTGTTAGTCTTGCAGTTCAGAGTTGGCGCTAATCAACGTCGTGCAACGCCAAACATGACTTCACTTTACTATGCTCGTAAATCAACTGTTCTTTTGAGCTTGACTATCTGTTGGGGAATTCAACAGCAACAGCGTTCAGTCATAGTAGACCACAAAAATTGCCTCATTGTTATTTGAAAAAGGACATTTTCATTCAGCCGCTCCCCGGTGGGTTGCATGTCAAATCACCAGCTTAAACTGTACTGGAAAATTTTGTTCTACCAAGCAACAAATCACAGTGAAACGGAAATGTTCTATATTTGGAAAGAAACCGAAATGATCTTTTTATTTCATCAATAAAAATGCCAACCCAAGCCGGTCGCGTAAACGGCAAATCATAAAGCGGTGCAACCGTCCCTTTTAGCGTTTGTACTGTCTTTTCAAGTTAAAGCAGCCTGAGTACACACTTTTGCCTTTGAGAACAACCTCGTAATTTATTGCTAATCATAACAAAAAGGATTTGCCGCTCACAATAGTACCACGATCTAATAAATTCCGGGTTTAGCTAATCCTTATGGCAAAATGGAAGGTTAGTCTATAAATATGCCCCTACTTAATTATTTTCAGTAGAAACTTTACGTTATGCAAAGGCAACTTGTAGATGAAGTTCAGGAGATCCAACGCGACATTCCAAGACATCCGCATTATCTACGTCGGTAACTCACATAGATTATTTACTGTTTGGTAGCAAACCTTGGAGCTCTCCCCTCACGAGCTCGTGCATTAGGAAGTCATCCGAATGATGACACCTATTTTGTCGTCCATTCGGACAAACTTTTGTGCTTTGCTGTCCATACTTTAGCGCTAGTCCACACTTCACGACTGTAAAACACGAAGTAGCAGGAGAGCCAATGGATAACAGCAAATCAGAATGCATGGAAAAGAGATAAAACTGATTAAATAATCGGTCTGCCTTCCTCTTTCTCCAGACACCTGGTGTCTATCTTTTCATGCTTATTATCGGTGGGTAATGAGTGATAATTGTATCTCTACAATGTATGCAAGTAGACGCAAAATGCTACGAACAAGCACCACCACCACTTTCATTAGTGCTCCCCTTTCTAAAACTACAAGCATTCTAGACCAAAAAATATTGCACAGAAGGTGGCAGCAGATAAAAAGCGCCCTTTCTCATTCATTTATTATGAAGTCACGGCAAACTATAGATAAACGAGTAAGCAGTATGAAAAGAGAATTAGCGAGAAACGTGTGAGAGAGAGAGAGGGGGGCGAGGGGAGAAAAGCCGTATCGGCTGGAAAAGAGTGTGAAGCCATCCAGTGCGTTTGTTAAACAAAGTTGGAGCACGGCATCGTATCATCTGCAATGAGATAGTTGACGGTGTTATTGATAGATCTGGGAAGAATGCTGAATTTCAGAACCAATTTTCCTTCGCTCAAAGACAACATCCAGAGACCACTATTTATCAAGGCTTTGGGAACAGCTAGCGACTTTTACCGCGGGCTAACCTTGAATTTGATGAAGTTTAGTCAAGTTGCCATTAAATACAAAGAAAAAAATGACGCATTCAAGGAGGATAATACAAGTGGATAGCACTAAGACAAGTTTCACACATAACTTCAGCCATAAAAGAGAAAAGCGAGGGCTTACGCGAATCAATCTCGAAGCAGTTGAACCAAGCATCGCGGCTAATTGTTCGACCGCTGATGCAATTTCCAAGGAAGATCTCCAGGCAAGCCAGTGTCGGCAGAGCGACCTGCGTCAGCATTGCCAACTCCCTCTCTTCAATCATGCTAAAGTGCGGGGCGAAGATTCAAATTTAACCTTGCGTTTTAGTGTAATGCTTAAATCATGTAACAGATTGCACAACCAAGGGCTCGGAGCAAAGAATTTGACGAGGAGGCGACGAATAGAAAGCCGAGAAATAGAGGCAGTGTAAAGGAGAAATAAGAGTTTGAATAGCTCACCCGCTCTTATCGACATCGAGTTCGCAGAAAACAAAGCTGAGAATTGGCCCAGCGTTCTCACCATTACGACCGATCTGCTTAGCCAAGAGACTATCCAACGCCAGCCAGTCGTGCTCCGATCGCGGACGCAGTAGCACGTTGCGCGGATCAGTGCCGTAGTTCTGTCCAAGAGAAGATAATGTATGAGAGCTGCATAACAACTACCGTTTCTCCAGTCCTACTTCCAAGGTTAAATAACAACGATGATCCGGCAGAAATAGCTGGTGTGGAGACATTGGAAATGAAAACTACATCCAGCATAACGCTTAAACCGCTACCCGATGCTTTAAGAGGGTAGTTGAGGCAGTTGACATGATTGCCCTTCCTCCCTCTCCTTCAAAAACTTATCGGCGCAGTCGAGGACTAGCAAGGGGCAAAGTTGTGGATCCAACAATACAGAGGCTAGAATGCAAACACGACAGACACTGCAATGAGTGAGATATGAGGAGGCTTGTTGTGGCAATGCACCACGAGGAAACCAGCAACCCAACTGAAGTGCGTAGTCCCATCGCCTGAATTTCGAAGAGAACATTAAATTCGTAAAAACCAATTTCAGTAATGCATCCAGTGTTCCACAATACGACTCGAGTACATTCTACAACTTGCTGGGGTTTGTGGTGCTGTGCAAGTTCCTTTGCGCTTCTCTAAACGAGCTTATCAAAAACATCAACATAACATACTTAAAGGTATAGTGAAATGAAAAATGACTGTTTTTTTTGCAAACAGCCTTCCTTTTTGTGAAATTAGCTCGGAAAATGATTCAACGATTTGTGACATTCAAAAAGAGTACACTTTTCCTCAAGTACTAGTGCCAATTCCCTAACTTTATTGCCCACTTATGAGGAAGTTAGTTGAAGTAGTGAAAGGAGCACCCAGAAAATCGCATTTAGAACCGCAGGAGACTGCCCAGCAAAGTGCTCATAACCGAAGGTAACGCAGAAATGCCAGCAAATGTGTAGGCCTTCTCAAAAAGACCGTACCCTCCTCATGATTCAGACACGCACCTTTTTTCCGTGACATTCGATTTCATGGAGATATAGCCGAGGCGCAAAGTCAACAATGCTAAAGGTAATGTGAGGTTAGCTTGTGCCAAGTGACAATACCCAGGTTTTCTCTTTATTCGCCATAAAACTTCTCCAAGTGGAAGAAACTTGGCGATGTTAATGAATGAGAAGTGTGCACATATTTGTACAAAGGCAGGAAGTGACAATCATGAACGAACGAATGCAAAAAGGAAGGAGAGATCGAAATGGATGGCCAAAATGCGTTACAAACCGATGCAGTGAAGAACCCCTTCCAACTCAATTGTTCTTTCAAACTATAACTCAAAGCTAGAAACCAGGATGAGTCAAAATCTGCAAAGTTTGGAAGAAAGCAGTTCAAGCCTGACAAAACATGGTCCCCGAATCGATCTCGGTCCATTCAATGCACTGTAACCGCAAAGTAATGAAAAGTGTTTATAAGTTAAGGTTAACTTAACGAATTCACTTTGCGGTGCTTAGAAAAGAACCGATTTAATTGAGAGAAATGGGAGGTGTGTCACCCGCCCTCTTACCGTTGAGCGCAGAAGCTGTTGGAGCCACAAGATGAACTGATACTTGAAGTAGCGTTGCTGAACGGCCCAGTTGCATTTGGTGGTGAGCTCTACAAACATGGAGGCAGGTGTGAAGAATTTTCCAAAGAAAGTAGCAGACGGCAGAGCAGAAAAAACTCACCCTGGCATTCGGCGAAGTAGCGGATGATGGAGTCGCTGTCCGCTCGGTGGCCGTTGAAGTAGCGCTCGTCGCCACAACGCGGATCGCCCTCGCGGCAGTAGCAGATGTTGCGGTAGAGGTCGCACGTGTGGCTGTACGTGTAGCCGTCCACGCAGATCTGTAAGTCACACCAGTGTGATCATTGAAGCACTTTGAATGCACCACTGTTGGTTTCCGTACTAATGTTGGTAAGCATCTCCTCGACAATCAGCAATTGCTGCCATCGGTCACACAGAGATAAATCCCTTCAAACGGTAGGATTTCTTAGAGGGATAATAAAATATGTTTGTGCAAAGCGTCTTACAGATTGTGTGACACTATCGCCTCATTTCGTTATATATTCGGTTTATTGTTAAAAACCGTTTTTTTTTTATATTTCCTTGGCTTTGTTTTTAACACCGTTTTGAGTCTGGTGGATTTGAAAAAGCGCATGCCTCAAGCACTTGCTGCTCCATGAAGACGGCATGATGTTTGGCATTTATAAACAGGCCACTTGAGGCACTCCGTCATTGTACCCTCACCAGACGACCCGGTCTTCAGGTGATGCCGGTAGCCTCAAGCACGTCCTCTACGGGTAGTATGTCTTCTTTTGACTTCAGAAAGGACTTGACACTGAGGCGGAAAGCCAATTCATTCTCAAAGGACATTTAATCTCCAATACAATGGGGACAGAAAAATTAGTGTTGACCTCAACAGAATGGCTATAAACTTGCGTCTATTGCGGAGTTCCGCGGCCTGCAGGAAAGCAACACATAACTAAAAACTAAACTAATCGTGGGCCATTTGAAAAAAAAAATTAGTTGTACAACTGTCTGCTGCACATGTACAAAAATATCACCGATGTGAACGCGCAACATCTCCTCCACTTCTTTACTAGCTAGAAATGGCTGACCAGCATTGGGAGGCGAAAAAAGACAGCGAGGAGGAATAGGCGCACAATCCCAGCCCCAAGAAAAGTACATTAAATTCCACCCTTTGTCATTTGGCACTGAAGCCAGGACCGAGTGTTCCCTAAGACGAATTAAGAACACACCTTATGGTCAGCGTGTCCTCTCTTCCCCAAAAGGACGAAATCACCGGTCTGGTAGAGCCTCCAAGAGGAATCAGTAATGCTGCAGCCAAGTGTCTTCTCACTCGTGAGCAATTTTCTTACAGCACTGACTACATTGCAACGACTGTCATGAAAGACGCCAAAAGAAAGAGAAGAAGTGTGTAGCATGACCACCACATCTTTCAAGCCACTTAGGTACTCCGATGGGCAGCAGGGCCTTCAAGCAGTGCCGGCAGCCCCTCAGCCCTACTAAGTGTCGGCTGTATGCATTCCTTCCAAGTACTATAAAAGTAGAGTTGGCTGAAGGACAAAGGTGGTTTTTTTGGAACAAAAAAATTCCTCCAAGTGTACTGCTACTTTACTTTCTTCTGCTCAAATCACAGCCTCAGAAACTCCAAATGGAGGAGGTCTTAGTCGGATTTATCGAACATGCTTGAGATAAGCAAAGCGCCACTGGACGTTTCTCCAAGATGTCAACCCAGCTGCAAGCAAAGACATTCAACCATATCCACGTCTGGGGTGCAGCTTACAAGTCAACAAAAATGTAGTCAAAATATTCATGACGAGGAAAGGATCTTCCTACAGAGAGACAGTGTAAGTCCGCTTATTCAGCAGATAAAGTGCCAATAAAGGGCAAATGACAGTTAAGAAATTTGCCTGCGCTTTGATTGTAACCAAGTGAGAAAATGGGATTCAAGGAGCAATGAGTCCAACAGAGTGGTGCAAGGATACAGAACCCTCCAGCGAAGGCAATATTCACTAACGAGGTTGAAGCTCCACGCCATTCTTCACTGCAACCTCGTGCATGCCCAAGTGATCCTTCGCGAGTCCTGTCGATTTACAAGCGATCGTAGCCACGGCCGTGTTTAATGTAAAGAAATTCATGATTTTGGAAAAGGCAGAACAATGCGTTTACTCGCCTTGCTCGGATGAATGAACCAATCGGAGGGACAGAAGTCGTAGCAGTGACACTTTCCATCTTTGCAATATTCCCCAACACTACACTTGACGTCGGCACACGTATCTTCATACTCTGGAAAATGAAATAAAAAGCTTCTAGTTAGCTCATATAGACAAAAATTAACTCCAAAGATAAGGAAGTGCGGCAATGGGCCCTGGAGCCAAGCCTTAGGCCCAAGTAGCAAAGTGTTGAGGTCTTCTGTCTCCTTCTGGGCACAAACATGATTGGCATCAAGCGTCAACAGGAGGTATCAGTAGCACCTTATTGAGGTGAGATTTTCCAGTGACAAAGGCTTGGATAGAGATGGGGAGTCATTTGAAGCGTAAGATCATGACCGAAAGTCGACCTCTTCAAAACACATTACGCTGGGGACAATTTCTTCAGGAACTCGTACCCTTCGAGGAACTTGTTGGGATAGAGAAGCATTTTATTGCTTGAGTAAGCACAATTGCAAATACTCACTGGAATACTAATGCAGAGAAACGCATTACTTGTAGATTCCAAGACGACAGGCGCTTAACGCTGCTCGCAGTCTACTCAACGATTTAGCTCCGTCAGTCTTCCAGATCGCTCATGTTGGCGACTGTTCGGTAATCGCAAAAAAAACCAATCAGCTCTTTCTTTGGAACGCGCGAATTCATGGCAGAGAAAATGTCGTGTTTATGGCCAAAAATTGTGATTGACAGTTGGCTTTTACGGAGATCCACTGGCTCTTTACATCCACTAAATGTTTTATGTTCTCGGTGAAGATCTGGAAACAAATGATCTGGTTTACGCTGAAACTCTAATGATGGAATGCAGAGCTATCAGCAAAGCCCTTCCCCCCCCCCCATCCCCCTCGTTCTCCCTCCAATACCGTTTCAAAGGTAGTGAAAGCATGAAGAGACAACACACCTGAATTGGACGAAGAGCCGTATTTATCGGAGGCGTTGCGCGACTAAAGTTGACGACAAAACTTCATTCCTCATTAGGCCAGAGCATTAATAGATAATCTCATTCAATTCTCAAAGCAACTGGGACACGCGCATGCAAATATCAGCCAACTAGACAAATGCATACAGCGTTTGCGGAAAAAGAAAGATAGAACCAGCGAATCGGTAAGCAAGGAGAAGAGACATTCCAGGGATGAGCCAAATGAAGAGTTCAAGAGCTTTACCTGAACAACTGTAAAAACCTAAAATAAGGAGTGAGAAAGTTCACGACTCTGTGTTGAGTAAAGTAAACTCATATCGAGTTCTGTCTTGTGGTGGCACGTTTTTGTCCTCAAAGGGATAAATCTGATCCGTTTTCCCTACAGGAAGGACAGTCAAAGCTTCTGCGGGGCTTAGTAACGCCTCAATGCTTGGAAGTGATCCCTACAAAAGGTAATAGGCTATTGAAAAGGGATTCTATCATCAGACTGCTAATCTCCGAAAGTACACAAAGCCACGATACAGACTATAAACGCCTTTGCAGCTATCTTAATGACTTCTTTTAAGCGTGGATCATCAAGCAATTTCTCCATCCATTTTCACTACCAATCTTGGTCAAACACGCTGAAGAATATAAAAGTAAACGCACCCCAATAAACGAGTGGCTTCCAACCTCCTCGTGGAATGCCTGGCACACGTCATGTGTTTTGAATTCGCATCGAGCAATCCGGCCAAAACACATGGCGCCGTTAAGTAATAACTTTCCCACTTGTACTAAACATGCCACAAAGCAGTCATAAAAAGTTGCTTTTAGCTCAGCCCTAAACAAAGTATCCGCTGTTGGTAAACCGCAGGATCTGCAACATGAAAGCACCAACTCAGCCCTAGACGGTAGTCATGGGCTCACTTTGCAATGAATGTGTTTGCTCTCGGTAACCTGGGTGCCCAAATCAAGAGACAATTACTCCGAAGCCTTATCTAATCTACCGTGCACCAGGGCCTACTTCAACATGTTCCTTGTCAAAACTGACACGACTGCATGAACCTCGGCTTCAACCTTGAGAAGTGCATGGCCCTTGCCAGCAAGATCGTCGATCCACAATGCACGCACCTTCAACTCGGTGCTTTAAGTGAGTGTACTTTTAAAGCCTCTGTAGGCGACGGAGACGCAAACCAAACAATTCCACAGGGTGCAAACACGGTGACAGGCGTAATACGCACCTCTATCCTGAAACATTAACCACCGTGAATAATTTTACATCCTCAAAAGAAAAATTACATGACAGGAGTAAGTATTTCTGGGGAGGATTAAGACAAGAGCCAATTCAGTCGACTTTCCTTTATAATCATCGTATTCGCTTTTAACTATGGAATAGTACAGCCTTTTATAGTTTTCGAAAATAACTGCCTTGGCTTAAAAATAGTTACGAGTGAGAATGCGCTTCCTTACATAAAATGCATTGGTTAAGAAATGTGAGAGAGCATCGATGAACGCAAAGTAACCATTTCCTTCCCTTTTTTGAAAAAAACAAAGACAAAATTGGTTCTAAAGAAGTTGCAAGTAGTTAAGCAAACCGTCTACCCTCCATACGGATTGCGTGATGCAACAAAGAAGCTGGTGGCCCATTGGAGCGGAAGGCAAAGGGGAAAAAGCAAGAGGAAGAAGAAAGCAGTAAGCAATGGAACGTACAAGGAGAACCGCGAGAAGGAACTGATGCTGAATGCATCTCATTGCGGGGTGCTTTGCTACAGCGGTGTCCACACTAGGCAAAACTACGGTCGCGATGGGACAGCGTGTGCGCAGCGCCCTACGACCTCGAGGAGCAGCCAATCGCGGCGACGCCCAACGCTGCCGTACTGCACACTGCTACTTCAATTGTCCGCTCTCACCAATTGACGAAATTCGTCCTCCCACTGAGTGAGTGTTGTCAGCCTTTGTACTTCAGTTGGTATGAGGTAAGCAGGTATAAAAATGATCACCTTTGATTTGGCTGTTCACAATATCACACCCAATGGAAGTAAGTAGCTTGCTTCCAGTCTCCACATTTTCGCAGTTTATTAGGGACAACCTGTTCACTGCTATGAGGATATGGTAATTGACTGTGCTAAGTAACTTTCCCACCCTATCGCTTGCTTTTGCTTTGATTGGGTTTCACGTCAAACATTACCTCGCACGAGCATCATACACCTATTTGCCCATTTCGATGGTTGTGAAGACTCTACAGCATCTGATCTTCTCACCGGAGTTTTGAGAGTATTTTGAATTAGAAACAAAAATGAACACTTTCCTTGTAAACAATGTTAGAGCAATACAACATCCTGATAGCGATGGCTATTTCCCCTCTTAGGCCTTGGTTGCGAATGCTAGGTTCTCCAGTCGGTATCCCACTTTCTGGACCAACAAGCCGAGCCTTTTGCCAACTTTTCAGTTGTAGCATACATCAAACCTATCTCTTGAAGCTCGTGGCGCTCCCGCACCTCTGTAATAGGACACTTTTCGTGTCTCATGGTTACAATGAGACACGATGCGACATCAACATCACGGAGCAGCAATATGGACAATATCTAGATGTGTTCATTTTGTGCGTTAAAATACATCAAGACAACGCAATCAAACTTATTTAAAAGCAATTCAAGATATACATATGTACACGGCAAGAAACAAAGGCCTTTCCACCCAAAAATAGGCAAACTTCGATCACTTTTGGTTTATTTTTCGAAGTTCGCCAGGACTTTTAGCGACTTCTGAGCAGCGACGGATTGCGGAGTGGAGCTTCGCGGCTGTTAAAGTTATTCCCATAGATAAGTGCCAAGTTTCTCTAATGAAAGTCTGAAATTCTATCCAATTTAACGCTTGAAAGCTAAGATTCGCTTCTGCACACACATAATCAGAACATTGTTGGTACGCTACTGTTGGAACCATAATTGAGGTGAGGATTTATCGTTAAGCGCTATGAGGAAAGCAAAAGGAGAAATGTGCGACTTCTAGTTCTACACCTACCTTAAGGGTAAGCTAACACTTTTGATCAATCCGAAAATTCAGTGCAAGTGCGTTTGAACGAAGGCAGGAGCAACAAAAGCCACGGACCCCCATTTAGCAAGCAAATTCATTACGATTAAAACGCGCTTGATGGCAAGACCGAGGTGAACAGGAGACAACAGTCACATCCGCCAAACAGTCAAACGATAACTGGAAAGTGAAACTGTTAAACCAACTTTTTAAGGCCTGATTGACTGCCTATAGACTGAGTGACTACAATAAAAAAGGATTAGCAAGCAAGCTACATTGAAAAACGATTATCTACATGATGCGTCGAAGAAAGGGTAAGGTCCACCTGGCGAACCACTTGAATCGTGGTTCCGTAGGCAGCAAAAGCCCTTCCAGTGTAACTGGACGTAGGTAGCGAGCATCCCACAGCCACCTCCGCTCAGCCTCAATCCGACGCCGCAGCTCCATGTCGCGTGTGACCACTACAATTTGGCTCTCAAGATCGAGGTCCCGCGACCGGTAGCCGTAATTGGATGAACCAATTGACGCAAGAGTGGTGGCGTCGATCCCATGAGTGTTCACCCAGAGGCCCTTGGCATGGAAGGTCCAGCCGGGACGGAAGTATTCTTGTACGTGAATATTGGGTAGTTGTGAAGTGCGTTGGAGGAAAGAGATCAGCATCTCACGATACGCTGCTGGTACGACTCCAGAGAGGCCTTTGGAATTGAAGAAGCTGCTGGCCTTTTGGTGGGGGATGACAGCATGCATCAAAGTTAGTATTCAACGGAGGAGAGGCTAATGCAATCATTGAGACTGCTTGGGAAAAGACTAAAAGGTGGATAAGGCAAACCTGAGGCGCAGCGCAGAGGATGTTAACTTGAGAGCCTTGATGTTCAGAAAGCTGAGCAATAGCAGCCATTGCCACTTCGAGTTCATGAGTGGGACAGAAGTAGCCAGTAGTGAAAGCTAGGTCACATGCAGGCAAAAAATGCAGAAGCCGTTTCACCAGCAGGATTTCCTGATGTATTCCGTAGGCACCCATTTGCACCAGAGGGAAAACCGCAGTGCCGTAGACAGTTGGTGCGTTTGTTGCAGCGTACTTCGCCCTTGCCTCTGTAAGAAAGGCTTTAATGCGCGATCGGAAAAGGCTGCAGTAGGTCTTCCCTTCTGCTGTAAAAGAAAGTGAATGAGTTTCCGGTGCATTTAATCGACATATTAATCAACTCGGTTGTTCGACGCATAGATGGAGATACTAATACTGATTTTAAAAATAAGGATCGAAACAAGAGGGTGAGGAGCGGCCTACAGTACCAACAACCAAATTATTTGCTAAAGGAAAGTTTGATGAAAATGAGAGAAAGTTGATTTTAAACTTTTCAGGTGCAAAAAGGTAAGTGGAGTAGAGATGAAAAATAGGCAACGAAGAAGACTGAGGAATGTAGGGGGATGTACGCGTGACCTCTACGGAATTTCCCACCACGGGGGCGGGTCCGAATGCTACGTCCATAAATCTTCGTCCCCGATTGCAACAACACGCATCGCGAGGGGACGGGAGAGGCAATCAACGGGCTTTGGGGAAATTCCAGACACCTTGATGTCCGTGCAGCGTTTTCAATCGAAAGGAGCAAACAAGGCAGTTGTACGGGTATGTGATAGGTCAAGTTTGGAAGGAGCGCACACAGAAAAGCCAACGTGCGGCAAATTGCGTCGATAACAACAAGCGTCATAGTGGGGAAAAAAGTGTCAGGGGGCGGTACGGAGAGACTGTATTTCAATACCGTCAACTACCAGTGATTTAGGACGCAGGTACCAGACGGTTAGTTTAAAATCGTGGTTCAATTCACTGATACGGAAAAACAGCCACGCAATTCACTAACAACAGAAAGACAGGCTTTCCTAATCATAATAGTGGAACCTCTAATCGAATTGTAAGGGAACATGCTAAAAACAGTACTATGATCAAATACAAGAAAACAATTGCCTCCAATCAGGTGACTTTTTGTCTGGAGCCTAAATGAATCGAGAAATTTTAATGTTTACGATTGCGACGAACAAACGTATAAGTATAAAAAATGAAGCAGCCGAAGGAAAACTGTTCGATGGTCAAGGTAGAGCACTCACCCAACTCTAGATTGGTTTCTTTTGAGATGGCTTTAAGCTCGCCTTTTGCAGTGACCCGATAGCTCAGGGAGACAATAATGTCAATGAGATTCGAGTAGAAGTCTGCCAGAGCTGGAACGCCTCGGAACAGCCACGCGCGATCCTGCCGTGTTTTAAAGTATTCTTCACTCAGATTTGCTCTGGGTTAAGAATAAAAAAAGGATGTTTAAGACTAGAAAGATAGCAGCGAGTTATGCAGCCAACAATAAGCCCTCAACTTCAAAATTAATAACTATTTTATCACCGAAAACATGGGAGGAATATACACAGCTGACAAAAATAAAGGAGAACGACTTCAGTTGCTGCTTATACCACTAGTTCGAAAAATAGTGAACAGCCGAGAAGCTGATTCTAGGAAGGCATTTTCCGCCTCGGGTGCACGGAACAATTTACTCGACATGACAAACACACCCACTAATGATGATGTCATCGTCGAAAACATAAACTTTCATATGCTGAAGACCCAAAAGTTCGTTTAGCCTCTCAGGCACAACCCAATGCATCCAACCATGTAGCCGATGATTCCGATATAGAGCCACTTGGGAAGATGGTAATTGCGCGATGCGCCGAAGCAAGAACAAGGGAGAGGACTGTGTGGTCATGAAAGTACGTCCGTTCATCCTTCGCTGTTGAGTATCCACAAATTCTGCAGTTGCCCTGATTGTACGCATGGACCGTGTTGCATCAGCAAGTAGGGTTACCTGTGGATTGTTTTTATTTGTTGCAATTGCCTCCACCTATAAAGTGCATATGGTCAATCCATTGCTACTTAAATAATACACAGTACGACATTTCAGTACGTACCAGACGTTGTTCTAGTTCCCCCGTACCAAGGTAGAGGGTTGCAAGAACAATGCGACGTCGAGCTGTTTTGACACCATCCTAGTAGAGAAATGGAGCAAAAGACCGTACCTACCCGCACAGCATTGTAAAAGGCGCATGGATTTGCGAGTATCTCCAGCTGATTTCGCTCAAATGAGATGGAGGGGACGTCTTCACTGACTAGATCAAAAGGATCCATGACCTCTGACCAGTAGAATTCGAGAAAACATTGGTCAAACAATTGACTGTCAGTTCAACTGAAGAGTTTTATGCTTACATGTTTTCTATTTTTAGAATCGCACCAATCCAGATACCGGATACGTCGAATAAGCTACCCATAAACCATAGGCATAAACGCACCACACAACCTGTAAGACGCTTACTTTCATCATCTTTAGAATTCAGTAGAACTGACATGATCTCGTCATGATAAAATCCAATTAATCACCCCCATATCAAAAAGATTAACCTCCCTTAAGGTCAAAAAGAAAAGTGTCTAACACGCCAAAATGACAAGGTAGCATGACATAGATACTTTTATTTGTACATCCACTTAGGAGCAAAAGTGAGAAAGGATCTCATGGTGGGGAATAGATGAGAAGAAAAAATATCAAGAGGGCATTACAGGAGCCACCCGTGTAGCAGTGAGTACAGAGCGCCCATCAGCAAACCCGCCACAACCGACGCGTACCTCAATCAAATCTGATTCCACCAACTTTGAACCAGAAATTGGATCAATCATTTCCTTGCGGATGATCTTATCCACAACCTCACGAGTGACTACAGCCCCTGAAGGGCGCAGTACAAAGCAGCGAGTAGCGCTTGTCAAAGGATCCTTTGAAACTGCACATACCCGCCGAATCTCATTAGCTCCAGTGTTACAACTCCCAGAACTGACATCGTCTGCATCCAGATTCGTAAAATTGACAGTTATTAGATCTTTATATCGCAGCGGTTTGCCGCTCATAGGGCAACGAACCACGGGATCGGGTTTGGGAATATCGTTTTCATGCTTCAAAGAATCGCCGGCGCATGGAGTCTGAGTCCAGAAGCTGGCAGCTGTGCCTGGCTTATAATCACCTACAAATGATGTTAGTTTACAATTTCCCTTAGATACGCTAGCAAGGGCTTCCGACTCGGCAGCCTGAGCTGAGGCCTTAGAATGCGTGTCTAGAGTGTTGAGGGCCATAAAAGCGCGGGCTTTTTCATCCTGAGCAGCCTTTTTTTTCTCCAGTGCATCACGAGCAGCGCGATCGCACTGTTTAGCGTATATTTTTTGGCGCCGTTTAATGTCAGCCTTCTGAGAAAGAATGTACTCAAGGATAGCAGCTCGGTCGTAAATGAAACCATCTTGAGTTATGACAGGATCTTGTGCTGGCTGAAGCGTAAGACAACAACAATCGAATGCCCTGATTGAATCCTTGCCTAAACGAACTGTTTGTGTGCCGTATCCAGAGTTCTTAGCATCCTTGCGACGCTCATGATAGGTATATACCGTGTTTGCCGTGCAATTTTTTGAGTGCCTTGTCATCTACAAAACGAAACGTTAAAACACCTAACTACGCCAGTTATAGTAAAATTACACCCGGGGAGAGATAGCATATTTAATCATCAAAAAGAACCACAAAAAGCTGTACAGGCTGCAGAGAAACAAATCGGAAAAAAACATGAGTAGGAAGCCGTGAATATACCCATCGATAGTGGAAGAGAATGGAGCCGAAGGAAAAAGGGCAAAGGGTACTCAGCAACAAGATACGGTAATCAAGAGTCGTAGACTTGCGTTTAGAACTGAGAGGTTTGGAACCAGAAGGAAATTCGCCGAATTTTCACAAGAAAACCATACAAGTTGCGCGCACTGACCGAATCCGCCTTTAAAACTCGCGCACCTTAAGAAAAAAATAAACAACAAAGTTACTTACAATTTATTTTCAAATATAAAGATTTTTATTACGAAAAAATTAACATAACGGGTGTCTTTGACGCCGCACACTTGCAAATAATGGCTGCTGCCTGCCATCATGTCGACTGCTCTTATTACATACCACCCGTTATAAGTTGGAGTTTGTGTAGCTCGCTTGCGTTTTTGGTCCCTTCCTATTTGTGGTGAACTGGGTCTCTGATCCTTAATATTTACCACGATTGGCACGGCATTCACGATTTCACAATGACGGAATCGGAAGAAAGCAAGCTTTTTATGCACTTTTTCTTGATATGTTTGTAGATATATCCTTGAAAGACCGGTACGAGTCTCTGAAGTTATTGTGCAGTGAACAAGTCATGGTACTCTGTTTTCCAACCCTTCTATAGTAACATTTTAGGCAAATGAACTTCTTAAGGAAGAGTTGGACCGTCTTCGCAAAAGCTTCCGGGAGTTATCCAGGCACAGAGCGTATGGTTTTCAATATTTACTATGTTAATTCTCTTCCAGTTTCTTGCTGGAAAAGTTGATTGCAATGCAGTCCAAAGCGGCTCACAATGTTGAACAGGACAGCAAAAGGTTCGCTTATGATACTGAGCAAATAATCTTTCTAGAGCTGGCAAATCATCTACTGTTCAGAATCACCAAAATCGTAACAATCAGATTCAGGTATCAGTATAGTGTTTCTAACTTGCTTGCATTGTTAGCGAAGTAGGGTTGCACCTACTACTCGTCGACCATCAATTCAACGCTCTAAAGGTGTTTATTTTCATCCTATTTTACGAATATTGATCCATTTTTCACATTTTATAAAGCTTTGTGTTCCGTATAGTCTATCCTCCTGACGGCATGTCTGTTGATGAATCGGATCCTGAGTCTATGGCAAGTGTCAGTATTTGTTGAGAATATTTTATGTGGGTAACTCCATTCATCTATTTCTATTTTTTTAGCCTGGGGACTTCAGTAATGGCTGGGAAGATGACTTCCATCACATGGGTGTTCCTGGTTATCGGCGTCCTCAGTCCAAAAACGTGAAGCGACAGCCAAAATTACCATCGGCACATCCATCGTCATTCAAACGATCTCGGATAATCGAAGAAGTTCCCGGTCCTTCCTCGCGGGGGAATTTCATTGAGTACAATCCCTCAGGATCTTCCCACGCTTCAATGGGGAGCGTGAGAACATCATTGCCCTACGAGTTCGCCGACAGTTGTACAGATCTATCAGAGGAGCCGCCGATAATTTACTCCAAAGGTGCTGGATTTACACCTAACGAAACTCCTAGAAGGGCAACTCCGAACATTCTTAAGACTTCCTCTTTCGTTGGCGGAAATGTTAACGATCGGTCGTTCCCCCAAAAACCACCTCCGGTCAGTGGAAGTTTTTTCGACTCACGTTTTCATTGATGTATGGAAGAGGTCACATTTTTAATTGTACAGATTGGTAATCCACTTCATAGTTTTCGTATCCTTCCTGGCCCCTTTGTAAAGCACCTAATATATATGTAACCGACTCCAAATCTTTTGGTATCCTTTATGTTGAATCCATTTACTGTGATTGGCAGTAACTGGATTTGTGGCACTGCTTAGAAGAAAAACTCTTTTCAAGAACTCATTAATTTTATATGGACATTGAGCACCATCAGCTCGTATTTTTTGATGCTGGCACGACAAGAATTCTGTTGTGCTTGTAATCGCCAGGCGCAAATGTAAATGCAATCCTTTGCATGTTCGTGTGCTGATTCATCGCACTGGGAAGAGTGGTCAGCCATTGAGTGCAGGTTCTGTGATTTCTTCAACTACTTTGGTCACGGTTGTTCCGTTTTTGAGGCCAACCAGGACGCCTGTACTCGGCTTAATTGGCACCTTGCATTGTTTAGTCGATTCAGTAATCGCCAAGCTTGGTGGCTAAATCTGACGGGTCGTCCTTGGTGCTGCCTTTATGCTTTCTAGGGTTGATGACCCTGAGAAATCCATCCGCCCCAAGGTCACAGAAGTTTAATTCGGCTCCGGGAGTTCCTCCTTCGTCTTTGTAGCATTCAAACCCTCAATGACATTCCTCGTAGTGCTGCCGAAAGAAATCACTGTCCACACAACGAATTGCCTGCGGTTAAACTGCAAGGTGCTAACCATCTCAAGTTCAAGGCTTAGATGGGAGCCACATGACAGAAAGTTCCCTACTCGCGCCTGGGATTCGACATCTCACAAACTCAATCAAAATACCCCGCATCCTCGTAAAATGATTTACTGCGAAGACCCTGATGCGGATTTCGAGCATAGGAGATCCGCATTTCAACTATTAATTTGTTCTGCATGACTTATTTCCGACGCCTTTCTAGCAGCTGAATTGATGAGCAACAGCACTACCATGAACAAAACTACGTCGTGCTTGACAGTCTGGCCTATTCGAAGGGAACGATTGAGAAAGCGCCCACAATTGCCCCCCGAAGCCCAAGACGACTTAACAACCTCACACGACCACCCGACTTTGCCGTTACACTCATCATGGACTTAAATGTCAATCAGCATAAGGAAATGTGGGTGAGAACGTTTATTGATTCAAAAAAAAAACGGGCATAAAACTACTGGAGGAGATGCGAGCTATGTACAAGAACGTCCTGCACACTTTTGAAAGACGAGTGTGGCACCATTCCGTGGGACATTGGTACTTCTGCTCTTCCAAAACTCCGTTATTAGTTACTGTCTTTGACGAAGATTGTACTGGCGTAGGGCTAGAATGCACATACGTGTGAAAGGACAGCTCAAAACTTAAAATCAGCGTCACGGCTCTAGTGATCGGCTGCATCCGCAGCGCCTGATTGACGCATCTGGGACCAAATCTCCTTACAGTCTACTTTTTCAACACTTTCCAAGCTGGCAGCAGCAACACCTAGCTCTTGGGTAATGAAACCAGCACACGAACTGGCATCGTCAAAACCAAGGGTTTTGGTGATAAAGTCGAAACTCAAGTACGGACGATAACTGGAGGAGCGCACACGAAGGCAGGTGGAGACGTCAATGACGAGAGATCAAGGGGAAAGGCGAGCAGAACGGGGACAGGCCAAAAAGAGGAATTCACCACCCAAAAAGGAGATGAAAAAATACGCCAATTAATGACAAAATACCCAGTCGAAGGTAAATGAGATAGGGGTACAGAGGAATCACTGCAACAAAAAACAACCTGTCAGAAGAGAAACACAGATTATGGACAATATGACATAAACAATTTTCTGTGTCTGCCTTGTGACACCGTCTGAGTGACAATCAGGGGCAGCGGTACTGGCTATGCAACTTACCATTGGCGCAGGCTAAGGGAGCGCGCTAACCTAGTATAAGAAATGTTTTGAGGAAGCCCCTAAAGGGAACAGGAGGTAACATGTATCAAATCAATACACCAAAACAGACCGTAAACCTACCCTAGAAATTTAGTCGATGCACAATCACACTATACATAAAAAACCAGCATGAAAGAAAACCTGTGGGAGTACGCACGTCTTAAAGATGGCTTTAAGAGCGAATTTGCGCTCCCGATCAAGAGACCAGGAAAGGATCTGCCGACAACCACGCATCTTGCTCGTTTTCGTCTCAAACGGGACAACAGCGTCTGAGTGACAGGCGAGATAGAAAAATCGCTTATAATTACGAAGAGCCCAAGCCTCCCGAACCTTTAGAGCAAACTGTATGAAGGGATCGACTTTGTGTGAATCCGTCAATGACGCAAGAAGCGTGCTAATAGCTGAAGAGAAAAAAAGAATGCAGGCATAAAAAACTGTCTAGACATTAATTAGACTAAGCTGCTTTGAACTCAGAGCTAAGTTGCATCAAGAGATTAAAGCTCAGGGGTGAATACTTTTGTTACAATAGCAACTCTGAGCCAAAGTACCCAGTAAATCCTGAGTAAATATGTAGTAGAGAAGGCGATAGGCTGTAAATTCCGCACGACGAGATGAGCCGAGACCTTCAGCATGCAGAAGAGATAGTTGTGATTGACACTGATGAAATTCCTGCGAATCGCCAGCCTCAAGGGCGATGTCAGCATGAGCCTCGTAGACTTCAGCCGTGAGCTCCGTTTGAATACGTTGTACCTAATACAAATCGAGATTAAATGATCGCACTAATAACAGATGATTACACCATAAAATGAGCAAAACACGCATACTGTGAGGTCCTGCCGAATGCTCTTGAGTTGTTCGCACACCCAAAGATAATCACCGCGCTCCTTCCACCTCTGCTTAACATGAGCAACAGCCTTCTTCAAAACGTCTGGAGGTCTCACGTTAGCCGGATCAGGAGCCTAAACATACAAGACACGTGTTATCCCACGTAAAGCTTAGCATCCCAAGATAAAACAAGTCAGCAAAAACAGAACTCACTGTAGTAAGACGCAAATAGGGTTTCTCAAGTTCCTGCATAGTACCGACGATGTTAAATTGCTCCAACCTCTCCGACAAAAGATCCGAGTCCGTAGCACTACTAAGTAGACTTAGCTGCCTAGTTGATTTGGCTATTGAGCCAGCACCTAAGTGGTCCTTAAAACGATCAGCGCGTTGACTCAGACGGTGATGAGAGGTGTCTGGAGCAATCCATCGTTTTTGCTGACTAGCCGCCTTGCCACCGCGACCTCGCGAAACGCTAGCCCCACCGCGCTTTCCTCCACGTCCAGCAGGAGACGGTGAAGCTCTCTTAGGGGATGGCTTCTTCCGACCGCCGATGCGTTTTTTGTTGCGACCGCGTCTGATGTTTGGTGAACCTGAGATCGGTGATGCTTCCGATCCTTCGGAATTTGTTCTGCAAAGAAACACGCACGATTATATAGAAGTGGTCCAGATAATAAAACAATACGAGTAGGGAAATGTTATAATACCCCCAAGCCTATCAAAAGAGAACGACCGAGTTTGTGACACTTTACCGTTTCCCAAAATCCTCCAATCATAAGCTTAATTCCCAGAATAGACGAGTGACAGAAAACGGAATAATAACGAGGATGCTACAGACATAAAAACATTTAAACGAAGACTGATGAATCTCTCGATACCGAATATGAAAGTTCGCCAGATACCCACCGGTCATTTGTTAAATGATCGCTGTCGGTACCAGACTCCCGATGATACTTCCGTCTTTTATTACTGGGTCTCACTGGAGATCGTGAGGATCTTTTTCTAGAAATACGCTTTTGGCGACTCTCATCTCGGTAAGACGAGGATGACGTTGATGACCGAGAAGACCCACTTCGTTGATGATAATACCTTTTTCGTTTTGTAGGTTCAGCAAGTTCTGGTGCTGGTAGTGATTCTGTCGCGCGATTATTAGAACTAAGGGGTGAAGGTACCACATTAGACTTTTCAACATCGGCTTTGCCAGAAATGACCGGTGCCTGTTGAGTTCGAGCCAAAGTACCAGTCGGTAAGGCTCCAGCATTTCGGCTCCGTGTCCGCCATGGTTGAAGTGGAACTGGACGCACCACACTAGCAGAACAAAATTGCGGTTTTTCAAGTCATTACTCTACTTCTTCCATGGCACTTATATGGTAACGAATACGCAAAACAATCAAACACAAAGTTCATAACAACCTACTTGACTGATGATTTTACCGGAGGCTGAGTAACTGGCGCGAGACATTTAGTGGGTAAGGCCGGGATGGGTTCCTTGGTCCAGTCGACCGAAACGTTATTCCGGAAAACGTATTCAATCTTCTGTCGAAGTATCCTTTCCATTTGATCCTTCTCAATGCGTGTCTCTGTACTGAGGAAAGCTTTTTGTACGTAGCTCCTAGTGGATTAGCGATACAATACACATCTTACTTCAACTCGGGACTCCATTTACTCTCACCTTCCCCCGATTCAAGAAGATTTGAAGCATTACCAGTAGTAGAAGCGTTGTTATTTCCCGCCACAGCTCTGGAGTCGGCAGAACTCACACCATCTACTAATCATTTTTTTAAAAACACCAATACTTTGACCAACAAATCTGCTATCCGTCCCAGCAGTGGCGGAACTATTTGAAACAGGTCCAACAGCACTTGTACCAGTATAGTAACTATAGTACGAACAATTTACGGCATTCCATCGCTGCGCAGCATCCACCGCCGGATCTCCAGAATAAATTCCCATAGGGTACTGAAAATAAGCATTGTAAGCGCCATATGTATACTGAGAAGAGAGAGTTGACGCTGGCAACGCATTTGATGGAGCACTACCATCACCTTGTGATCCAGGTGGTTGTGGTAGTTGAGTAGCAGTTCCTGAACCATCAGTGGCTTGTTGAGATCCATTTTCAGCGTATGTAGGAGCGTTATATCCGAAGGCCTAAAACACTTAAATAAAAGAGCGGAAGTACCCCATAATAAGGATACTGATAATAACCAGAGGAAGTAAAGTAAGACCACGGATGCGACATTTCTTCGAAAATCTGATCCACATCGATTGCACATTCAAACAATGGTTATGCATGCAGGATTTATTGAGCTCGAATTTCGAAAAAATTTCACCAAATCATCTCATTTAAGGCTTTACTCAAGATGGCTCCTTTGCAACTGGTAAGATAATGTATAAATTTACGGATGATTTGAAAATAGACTATTGAAATGTCAGAAGGCAGATTAATTTGACCCTCGTTAAAGACGGATGAGTCTTTTCGTGATGAGGAGAAGAAATCGTAGGCAGATATTTCAACACCCTCTCTCTATACACTTTCTTCACCTCAGCTTTTAGAAGGGGATAATTCGCTGATTATTTATTTGGCAATATTATGTGCGTATAATCAAATGCTAGTCACACACCCCCTGTACGGCGCTTTAAGTAAGTGAAAAACTGTTTAAAAAATAATATGTATCACGCTGTAGCGTCTCGAGGCTTCCCATAGGGTGGAAGAAGGCATAAGTGGGGTTGAATACAAGTATTCGAAAGACGACAGGGCAAATGGGGCCTGAGCGTGGCTCGAAGGCCAGCCCACATGTACAGGCGCCAGACAAAATCTAAAGTGACCGCCAGAAGTCAGGTGGTCACATAAACAGACCATTACATACACAGCACTTCCCCTCTCTTTTGAGCGCCGCCCTCGAAGCAAACTTGTCAGTTGTCTTTAAAGTTGTCAGTGCGCATACCTTCCACCGTTAATGCGCAAATCCCGCCCCTGTAGGTTACTGATGCGTTACTAGTGTAAAAGCCAAACATGATACGGTGGACAGTTATTAATGGGTTGCGATTTTCAGAGTTTTAAACCGTGCATTTCTTGTGTAAAATAATCTTGACTACAGTCGTAAAAGCTGCGAAGCGTTCCTATGTGGGAAGGTGGCTTGAATATGTGGAACAAATCTCCCTCCTTGTAACTACCTGCCATGAGATTCCTTTCGTCCTATATTAAATAATTTCGAAGTTTTCCTTTAATCTCGGTACACTGTAATGTGTTATTTGCCGCGTTCTTACTGAAGGGAACTATGTCTGCAGGAAACCTCACTTAACGATGTAGCGTCCCGAGGATTTCTAGCCGGTGTAAGAAGTCAGCAGACGCAGCTAGATATATGTGTTCCGAAGACGACGGGGTATACGGGCCCGAGTATGGCCCGAAGGCCGGCCCACGTGTGCAAGGGCCAGACAATTCCTAATATGACCTCCAAACGTCAGCTAGTCACATAAACAAAGCACTGCATACGTTCTCTAAGAATCTGAAAGGGGAGACTGGTAAAAGTTACGAGCTGCTGCTTGTTATACCAGAAGGGCGCGTCCTAGTTAGAGGCAAAGGCCCTCGTGAACTAGTTAGTGACGTCTTTGTAATGAGGCCAAATTTGCCAGCATTTCGCATTATTTTATCAATCTCTTAAATAAGGCGAGCCATGATGTAGGGCAAGGGAAGGCCTAGGAACCCTTTAGAACTATTTTTGAAGAGAATTAGGTCACGCCTCGTGATCTAGGCCAAACATTGTATTTCAGGAAAAAATGCTTTATATCGGCTGGCGCTGCCAGCAATGAAACACGTTCCTCTCCAACTCCGTCATTCTTCTTCTCAGCTTTCTTAGAAGGAAAAAAGATTTCTCCGATGATTTATTAGGCATTCTCATGTAGTTGCAATCAAAAATATTCAAAGTACACCTAAGATATTTGCACTAGTTTAACAAAGGGCCCTCATGCACCACACGCATGGAACTCCAATAGATTTAAAAGCGTTAAAAGGCTACTAGCTTAGGAGAAAATTACTTATGTTGTGGGAATTATCATTTGATTGTCTAACGGTTGTTATTTAGCGCGTGAACTCCGCTTCGAGCCAAATCAAAGGTCACTCCTTTTATCTACTCCACGTTGAATACATGTATTCAGCTTAGCTTAATGTTTTCTTCTACCTAGTGGGAAGTCTTGAGTACTACCATTACTTTTTAAAGGTAATTTGCCAATTTCATTATACGGTATTTAGTGACTAAGGTTGAGGCGTGCCCAAGACTTCCCATCGGGAGGAAGAAGGCATTAAGCGGTGCTGAATAATTGTGTTTTAGGAAAGCAAAGGAACCTATTTTGATATTGGCACGAAGACCAGCTCACGCCAGACGGATCGTAAAGCAACCGACGGCGATCACTTAAACAAAGTATTTCGAAAGTATGTGATGGAACAACTTGCTTTTGCATATACCTTCAATACCACAACATAATTCCGAACAGCTTTTATGCTAAATACACAGATATTATTTAATTCCACAACAAATATTTTTACTATCGAGCAAATTAAAACCAAAACGAGATTCCTTTTTTCATGAATAATTACCGAAACTTCCCACCGGGTGGAGGAAGGCTTTAAGTAAAGTTGGATACATGTATTCCATAAAGAACGAAGCGATTAGGCCTAGGCATGGCTCGAAGTTCAGCCCACGAGCATAAGAGCCAGACAAACCTCAGGTGGCCACATAAACAAGGCATTATAATTGGCATTCCCCATAGTACTTTAAAGATTTGCCATTGCAGTATAGTAGGTAACTGGATCAACTGCGGGAACAATTCATTCTTAATTTAAAGTTATATATTTATTAATGCAATATATAATAGTGCGGTTAAGTTTGCTCTTTATGGGTAAGAGGCGGAAAACCAGCTCAAACACAAATCCAGTAACATCGCCTCACCAATCCTCTTCCATTTCATTCCTTTCTGTACATGAAGACCGAGGCTCAGGAGCCTGAGGGTAGGCAGGCAAGCTCCACAAATAGTTCACCAGTGTATGGAATACTTACAGTTTTCATTTGCTAGAGTATCTTCTAATGTACAGTTAGCTTATAACTCTTTTTTTACAATCAGCACTCCGAGATGAGCTAGAAGGTATGTAGTTTAGATGAACAAAAAAATCAACGGGCTTTGGTCTGACCCGAATTGCGGCTGACTACTACAAGAGTGAGACACACCAAAGTGAGCCTCTGTTACAAGTACTCTCATAGACGCATTTCCTGATTGTGGTCACGAATGTGTTCGTCATGGATTTGCTAAAAGTGCAAGTTTTCCGGCCAATTTTGTGATGTCGCGCCTGAACTGCTCTCCAAATGCAGGTATTCAGCTAATCACATACCCGAAATGTCACGCCATCACTGATAAAAAACGATTTTTCGGAAAAGCGAAATGAATTATTTATCTTCAACAAGATAAAAATTAAATAATTCGCCAAGTTTATATTCTACGTCACTGTAGTCGGCTTGTTGCTAAAGCGCTTAAAGCATAATAAACCATGCTTGACTTTTCTTGACTCCCGAACTTGGTAGGTCATTTGGGAGGACATATTTGCTAGACCTAGATTTCCAGTCGCTCTATCAGACCATGATACTTAATGTAATCTATACGAATGTGTTTAAATTGGCCTTTATAGAAGGCAGGCAGGAAAGCAACTGGAACACTAAGCCAGTTCGTGATGATCGTGAAGAGACGTTCATTGTGTTGTACTAGCTTCCGATCTCATGATTTCGCCTCCCATTCTTTTTTCGCCTGTACATGATGCCTAATAAAGCTTCCTCAACCGGCAAATCCTATGCTTAATATAATTTCTTCCCACTAAAGAGGTTTTCAAAAGGATGCTGGCCGATATTCGACAAAAAGCATTCAGGAACACAGTTCCAAATGAGATCATACACTACTTTGTTCATTCGGCGAATTGCATAGCCTTCGGTCGTTTGGTAGCGATCTTGTCTTTGTGGCATGTGATTAGCCTCACCACATGCCTTTACGCAAGTAGCTGGGCGCCTCGAAATGCTACGTCAAGTCGTTGAAGAAGCGTTTCGCAAAATTTTGTAGTTAGATATACTTTAATCAATTTCAGCATTCAGAAGTCGAAGTGTTGCAGTTAGTGAATGCAAACAATTGGTTAATAGATAGCAGAGAGTTTTATAAAGTGGCATTTTCACAAGGTCATTTTGAACGATATATGCAATAAAATAGGGAACATGTGTAGTAATAGTTTTGTATGAAAAGGCTAGTGAATAGACTACTTCAGAAAAGGGCTCATTCGAAATTTGCAATGTCTCATTGGTAACTGTCTGTTTTGCTGCATAATAACATAACTTGCAGCAAATCCGTTTATCTCCCATGTAATCAGACAATTTGTTTGGTCGAGTAGCGACGCCACACTACCTGTTTCAATTTCGTTCCTGGCTTTGTCGTTTGGTGAGTGTAGTTTTTCGCGGGTTTCTCTATGGTTCAGCAAGATTAGGGGCTGCATCTTGTAGTTACTGCTCTCTAATTTTACGGTTGGCTATTTTTTTTTACTCATTCACATCAAACGGTTTCAACCATGGTATTGACAAGTTGTGATTTATGTTGTCCTAAAGGATCTTCAGAATTCGCGCAAAGGCAGTGGTCCAATTTATATTCTGTTCTCTGTTTTAGCCCACTTTCTGAAATGTTGATTTTAGGTTTTTTTTCATTAAATAAATGGGGGAATACAGTCCTCTTCCGAATGCCGAGGCCCCACCTCCAGAGGGTAACGGATCGTATCCTCCGTTCGAGAATGAATTGGATGATTCTCGTTCAAATCTGAAGGAAGATGAGCAAAGAAGGTGAGCTGCTGGTTTTTGTGGTACTCACCACGTTTTTATGTGTTACGAACTGTTTTGTCGAATGCAGGCACGACGATGAACGTGACGGCGTACGGCATTATGATGAGAACGAGGAGGAACGTTACGAACGCGACCGCAGGAGAGATCGACGTCGGTCTCGCAGTAGTAGTCGAGGGCGTCGTCGTCGTTCACGTAGTCGCTCGCGTGACCGTCATCGGCGTCGTCATCGCTCCAGGGATCGTTCAGGATCATCTAGTCGTCGCATTGTTTATAAGTATTGGGACGTTCCTCCTCCTGGCTTTGAGCACATGACACCCCAACAATACAAGGCACTTCAAGCTTCGGGACAGATTCCTGTTAACGTATATGCGGCTGGTCAAGTGCCCATGCCTGCGTCAACGCCGAATGCTCCTCTCACCCTCAACACCAACATACCATTTGCTGGGAGCGCCGTATGTCGTCAAGCTCGTCGCTTATATGTGGGTAACATTCCCTTCACCGCAACAGAAGAGAACATGATGGACTTCTTCAACAAACAGATGAAGGCCCAAAATCTTGTTCAGGCGGAGGGGAACCCGATAATTGCTGTTCAGATAAATATGGAGAAAAATTTTGCATTCCTGGAATTCAGGTCAGTGGATGAAACTACTCAGGGTCTGGCTTTGGACGGGATTCTTTTTCATAACCAAGCCCTGAAGCTTCGAAGACCTCGTGATTATGCTCCACTACCCGGTGTCAGCGAAACCCCTTCCATAATCGTTCCGGGGGTGGTTAGCACAGTTGTGCAAGACTCACCACACAAAATATTCGTTGGAGGTTTGCCTAATTACCTGAACGAGGATCAGGTTAAAGAGCTGCTATTGAGTTTTGGTCCGCTGAAAGGTTTCAACTTAGTTAAGGATGGTTCTACTGGTCTCTCTAAGGGCTACGCCTTTTGCGAGTATGTGGACCCGAACGTAACAGATCACGCGTGTGCTGGTCTGAACGGAATGCAGCTCGGTGATAAAAAGCTTATCGTTCAGCGCGCCAGCGTCGGAGCAAAGAACGCCGGTGGTGCTATGCCTCCCCCTCTCATCCAGGTGCCCGGTCTTAACGACGCCTTGGTACAGAATACCACCGGGTCTGGTAACATAATTTTCCGTTCCGGTGGTCCCCCAACTGAGGTTCTATGTTTGCTAAATATGGTCGATCCAGAGGACCTGACTAACGACGAGGAATATGAAGACATTGTTGAGGATGTGAGAGCGGAGTGTAGCAAGTACGGCATTGTCAGCAGCGTGGAGATACCGCGGCCCATCCCGGGCGTAGAGGTCCCCGGAGTAGGCAAGATCTTCGTCCAGTTTGCCAGCTTGGTTGACTGTCAAAAGGCGGCCACTGCCCTGACGGGAAGGAAATTCGACAATCGCTTGGTGGTAACCTCGTTCTATGACCCAAACAAGTACCACAGGCGCGAATTTTAACACGGATTTTGCGTTTAAGCTTCCGATTCCCGCTTTTGTACATACCGTTGTGGTAGTCTGAGGAGGGGCTGCTTATATGTTGGTGCTTGTAAGTTACAATAAACGAGCTGCAATGCGCGAACTTGCTGACTTCTCTTTGGTTTTAGTGCTAATCGACTTGGGGATAAATCCTAATTACGGCTAGACAATGAACTTTGGTTTTCATGTGACATGGGATCAGGTAACGACATTACAGATCAGTCCTATGACGTTGTCCTGAGGCATGTTCGATGAAGGCTAGCGGTTTAGATCAGCACATAGTTCAAGGGAGGCCTGTTCAACTCCAAAATACAAGGGGAAGAGGTGCAGAAATAGGCATAGTCGGTGGATTAATTCGTAGCCTGACGCTTCCACAAGATCACTACTCCAGCCTCGTCCGCTGAGGCCAAAAAGCTTTCATCCCAACTTAAGTTCACGTCAATCACCGTTCGGCCCACCTCGCAGTCGTGACCTTGCAGACGAGTGACGACAGCACCACTTCGTTTCCCGTGTTGTGCGAGAGTGGCGTTTGTTGGTACCTCAAAGACATATACGCTACCTTTGTCTTCGCTGGCCGAGATGACGCAGGCAGTGCCTGAGGAGCGGAAGGAGATGAGCGGAGCGAAGCAAGAATGAAGAAGATGGAGACCATAGTTGGTGACTGGAGGATTGCAGAGGGGTGAGTGCGGCAATTCAAAGTGTTGGTGCACTTCAAGCTCTCCGTTGTCCGGTCGAGCGTGATACAACAGAAGGCCTACTCCGGCAGCGTTGACGAGGAGATAGCTGGAGCTATCTTCGTGGCTGAGCCAGGAGCAGAAAGCGAGACTGGTGACACTAGGTAGAAGAGGTGTAGAGGGAGGTGGAGAAACGGAAAGGCGGGATAGACGAGTGAGAGTGCCTGTAGTTTCACTGCAACTGTAGGCTTGAATCACGCCCAGATCAGTGCCTACCCATAAACAGCATGAGTGTGGATCGAAGGCTAGGGCGGTGACGCAGCCTCGACCCAAATGGTGAGACAGATCAGTGCGGTCGCGGCAGGGAGGCAGCCTTATTCGCATCCGCGGCGGAGCGTGTAACTTGTCACGACCATTTTTTACAACTCGGCCAGTTGAGAGATTCAGCACCTGTGAAATGAGAGCATCACGTTTCAAGGAGCTGCGTAGATGGTAATATATAATCTTAATACTTTCCTACCAAGCGAAGCAAGTGGGTAGCGTACCCAAGCAAAAGGATCCGTACCTGTACGAGACCCAGCGTATCTCCGAGAACGAGATAATTGTTGTTGACAGGATGGAATTCACACACAAGAAGGCCACCTCCAGGAGAAGCAACATCGCGGAAGTGTCGCGTAAGACAGCCCTGGCGCTGCACGTCCCAAAGGCACAACGAGGCATCCAGACTAACAGTAGCCACAAAATCGTTAGCCAGTGACCATGCTACATCCATCAGCGCCGCCAGCGGCGTCGGGACTGTAGCTGGAGTGGCATCGGAACTCGGCGGCTCAAGGTAATCGATTTTATGCGATATCCCCGCTTCCTCCTCCGTAGACCTCGAAATGTGACAAATCGACGCTGTACCATCAGCCGAAGCGATAGCCAACCGATATGAGTCGTTGTGTGCAAATCGTATTCGCGTGACTGAATCTACACATTTTAAAAACAATGCCAGCTTACCCCAAGAGTAAATGAGGCTTGTGGCATAAAGACCCCATGACGTCTTCTCAAGCTAGGATCACCTACCCTTGTGGTGATCAAAGATGGTTTCGATTCCCGCAAAAGCGTATCCCTTACTAACAGGAGGCTCGTTTTCAATCCTACGGTCTGGAGAGGCCTCAGAGAGGTGCAGCTGAAGTTTCGAAAAGGAGGAAGTCAGTAAATAACATACGCTGTGATTGTTTTGAACGTGGTTTCAACGAAAAATTTTCAACTGTACTAAACCTTGAAGCTTGGGAAATTGCATAAAATGGACGTTTTTTAATATCAATCATCAAAGAAACCAATGTACTTGAGAGTTCGATGACGATGAGAAGTAAGAAAGTGAGTGCCGCTGCTGATTATCAAGATGAAGGACATCATAGGCCATTGTCCCTGTTGTGGGTGTAATTGTCCCCGCGTTAGAAGGTGATCGCGAGGTAGGTCCATATCTTCAGTACGAAACGAAAGAAACGAAGGCAAACGATTTTAAATCCCAGAAAAGCAAAACGCTACAATAGACTTAGGAGATAAATGAAAAGAACTCATATTTATAACGAGTGAGAGACGAATACACATATTCACAAGGTGTAATTCATTCGCTATTTTAAAGGCAGTAAAAAAAGATTATAAGTACAATAAAGAAAAAAAATACTACATAACAACTTGGTTGTCACAGGTGAAGAGAAAAATGGCACACTTTAGAGCAAGAAGGTTCTGCCGGATGAAGAGGTATTCAGAACGATCGACAGGAAACGTCACAGGAACATTCTGTGAGAGCTGATATCGTCTGCGAAGATAGACGTTCCAGCGAGTAGGATTTAGATGAGGTGCAGCTCGAGAACGTTTGTGTAAGTAGGAAACGTCAAGTGCGATCACTTTCTGCCAACACTCCACAGAAGAAAACTGAGAGCTGGAAAACTGCTGAGACTCCGTCATTTAGTAACCAATTTAGACTGAAAAGATTTAAACTACATCCATTAGCCTGGTAAGGAGGGTTTATGTGTAAACAATCAAGTAGTCCCCAAAAAGCTGTAGACACATCCAACATAAGTAAAGCAGTAAGAGATAAAAGTATTTAACAAGAAGTAGAATGACTGCAAAACAATGGGTATAAGATTAAAAGTAGAAAAAAGATATCGAGTGCTAAATGATTCCAAGATAGCACGGAACAAATGCATCAAAAATATTAAAAACTCACACGTATACGCAAATTCCGGCAAATAGTTGAAAAAATTAAACAAGTAATTAGACATTGTAATATCCTACCGCACCGATAGATTAAGAATGAAAGATAAATGATCGTCACGAGGAATACGATAAAGGTTCATTAGAGCAAGTCCTTGCAATGTCATAGTCACATATCATGCCTTCATTGTAAGAACGGTTTGCTTGAGAGAGCTTTAATGGAAATAATAACTGAAACTCCCAAATGGGAAAACAATTGTATTTAGTTAAATGTCGGTTTTATGACGACTGGCTTACTTTAGCATTATCACATAAAATTGACAATCTCTGATAAAAGAGTTCAAAATGCGAGGCTGCGTTTTGCGGGCAATCTTACAGGCCTTGCAAGCAAAACTTTTACTTCTTTTCAACTCACAGAATTCATATAATTTATTTAGAGTGATGTGAATGTTTTTAAAAAATTTCGGACAGTTTATAACCATTTGGTTTATGAAATCCCTTTAATACTTTTAAACTGCTGTTCTAAGTGCGGTAGATTCATTCATTATTCGCGACTGTAAGTATTGCTGGATTTTGTGGTCCTTAACTGATTACAAACGGCAGCTAAAAGTGCAATTAACTGCTACATAAGTACGACCTCCTATCTTGTGCCGTTTTTAGGTTTCTTCTCAACCCTTTTGCATGTGGAATCTCCTACTCATCATTGAGCTATTTTAATTTCGTTCTGTGTTTATCTTTTGGCATGCTGACTTTTTTACTTGCGGTTAATCGTTAGCTTTTTGTTTTTTTTCAGCAGCTTAGATCTTTTACATTTTGCCATTTCAATGCTTGATGAAGTTGCAAATGCCATGCAGGCGTCACCCTCTCCTCCAACCTCTGATCATTCTTCTACGGATATGTACTATACAAATGTTTTTTTCGGCCATCCTCTTTTTGCGCCTTCCGCTTTAATTCGTCGAAGTTCACGAAGTGAAAATCAAACTCATCAAGCTGTTGCTTTAAGTGATGGGTCACTTGCATTTAATGAGGATTTCATTGAGTTAGATGTGCGCTCTGATTCTGCACCGCCCTCATCTGATGCCGATTCGGATGACCACCTTCCTATTGACATTCCTCTTTCGTCTTCGTCATTGGAAGTTCAAAGTGGTTCTTCTGAGTAAGATTATATTATCTGAAAACGTTTAGGGTCAGCATTAAGTTGCATTTTGCTCAGAGTCATGTAAGCATCCTACAAATCTATCTTTATGTCATAAGCTCACGAATCTCTGCTTCATCCCTTAGTTTGTGGTTTTATATTTCAGCAGTCTACCAGCAACTACTTTTGTGTTGATACTGAATCCACAGCAAAATACTGATGCTGATGACAATCCTGTACCCTCATCTCTTCCGTTGCAAAGTGAAGCCAATTTGGTTGGGTCGAATTGTGTCTCGCAGGAAAGTGCTCAAGCTATGTGTCATTCAAACTCCCAAAAGGTTCATATTTTTTGTTGCATGTGCTCTTCCGTGCTAATCAACGCTTTGTCCTCCATATAAACTTTTTAGGTAGAAGATCTTTCCATAAGTACTCCTGATGAATCTTTACCCAGGGAGTCAGATAGAACTGGGTCAAACTCTTCTCTCCCCACTTGTGCTGTTTTTCAATCCCCATATTTTTCTGCTACTGATGACCACTCTGATTGTGATGTCTTCTTGATGCGTGAGCACGAAATTGCTCCTGGTAATTCAATGACCAGCACTGTGGTGAATTTATTGGTGAGCTGGATTCCGACGTTGATGAAAGAATTAGGCCTGACCCAGTAAACCTATGAACAATTTAGCACTTTCTTAGCATAGATATTAACGCGTGGTCATGTCGAGTTTTATACTCGTAGTCTTGCTTGAATCAAATCCGAGTAATATATTGCTTACTACGAGTTATCAGGTACTTGAAAATAAATAGGGCATCTTACTTCCCTTGTTCATTGTGGATTCTTGTTTCTAAACCTTACAGCGCGGTTGTAATCTCCTCGATAGCCACACTTTAGAGGACTTGTGTAACTACCTCCCAATCTTGCGTCGCAAATACTCACCCCTTACTCCCAATCCCAGTGTCCCAGCATCTCAACTACCCGCCAACACTCCTATTCTCGGCGAGAGACGCCAGCAGTCTGAAAAGAAGTCGTTCAGCTTGCTACCCTGCATGTCTTGTACCTCATCTGTCGAAACGGTGGCGTCGTTTGCTCCATTAGCTCCATGCAGGGGTCGACTGGTTGACTACCTGCTCACCTGCTCTCGTCTGGGCTCTACTGCTCTCTCCGATTTTCTTCCTTTGGAAGGTGACCTTTCTCCCTCCAGTCGCATACACCTGTTGCCTTTGGATTGGCGTCGTGGTCGCTCTGACGGTCTAGTATGTTTAGCGTGCGCCTCGCGCTCTGTTGGACTCCGAGTGATAGGTCGCTTTGTCACCGATTGGCAATCCTGCTGTTTACCCAGTCTCCGAACTCGTACAGACTCCATTGGTCGATGGCTCGCTGAGTGGATTCGAGCTGGAGCCGTGGTCTTCTTTGCTCAACTTGATTCCCCACAGAGAGATCCTTGCCCGTCTTTAATGAGGTGCCAAAGTACCTCAAATATCAATTGTGGATGCTGCGAACTCGCCTGGCGACACCGATTAGTATACGGTGTTACTGGTCACTGTAAGTCAGCCCATCGTGGAGTGAGCTTGAGGCTTGCGAGCTACGTTAATTAGTGTCAGCATACAAATGAAACCTTATGTGAATGAACACAAAAACAGCATTATGTTGTTTTCTTCAACGATTTAATGGACGACAGTTAACTACATTCAAACCATTTTTCCTAACAGCTTATGTTCACCTGTCGAATCCTATTGAAACCGTACACGTGAGATCCTTGAAGGCTGCATTGAACGTAGAGACAACCATCTGTGTTCCAAAAGTGGATCTGCTCAAGCTGTGGACTTCGGATGGAGCGTTGCCACAGACCTCGTGTGACAGTCACGCCTTCTGTGCGGATCAGGACCTGTCGCTTCTGGCTCAACATGAGGATCCCAGATGGCGTCACTTCAACGTATTAGGTAGTTAATATATCTTTCTCATTTGAATCTATGTCTTAACACCTAACTATACAAGCTTCTTTGCCGACTAATATATAGGCCAAGTTATCTCGACTCTAAGGGAACGTGATTACTACTTAGAGCGACATAGTCAGAACCAGAAATCGGCTCTCGACAGTGTAACAGACGGAAGTACAAGCAGCATCGCATCATCCCGCGGCGATCTATTTCAGGATAGCCTTCGATCGGAGCCACATTTAGTTGTCCCATGCGCTCAAAGGCCAGGTTTCAGTTTATTCATTCCGCGAAATGCTGCATTAGACGATCCCCTAATGCGTTCAGTGACGCAACAGTTGTTGTATAATTTATCTTGATTTAAAAATTAGTGGCTGCATAATTACCTCGTCACTAACAATAAATCTTGTCCATGCGTACCTCCTTCATTGTCTCAGGGAAAGGGTAGACGCAACAGCGACTCCCCTCAACGAACAAGTTAGGGGATCCAGCTGCTGGTGAAACCAAAACAGATTTGAGAATATTGAAGGCAGCGGAAATGTCTACATTTGGTGCACAGGGACGGCGATGTGCCCATCAAAATTAGCTAGGTATAACAGAGACTTTCGAACGGGGCGACAATAGGGAACAAGAGCTAGATCTAAGTAGTGCATTACCCGAACAATGTGAGTGATAGTTGGCAAGTGAGCTAGAGTAGTGTGTAAGCAGGTGTATTTCACAAACTAGGGAGTGGAGTAGGTTCTCCGTCAGGTAGTCATTCCACACCAAGCTCGGCATCTGTGAAAGACTCCCTCTTTGGGTGGGGATCATGTCCCTAAACCATTAATAGCGAATAATGGAACTCACGATTAGCACTTCCCAGTTATTAATGAAGTGGTACGAAATCCAGGCCCAAAATATTGTACTGCTGATGCGAAAAGCCCTCTCTGATTTCTCATCAAAATGTGTATGATCACGATAATAGACTCTGCAGGCTATCAACAAACCATGCCTTACTTAATCTCTTCATGCGAATGCCGCTTTACAGTCTGAACAACGGGACGAAATAGTTGGTGGAATCGACCCAGCTGAAGCATAGCACCTCCTACACCCATGCAAAACGATGAAGGCGGTGCAAGACCTGATTGTCTAAAACACATACGATACAGGTTGTGTGCTAAGTAAAACAGGCAAAATAATGCTAGCCAGAGCAACGAAATTTATTAATTCGTTTTCTGATTGCCTTTTATCGTGCATTTTGCTTTTACTGTCAAACGGTTAGGACCTGTAACATCATAGTTTTACGGGCGCAACATTGCATAGCAAATCTGCAAAGCAATATCCTCAAATTTCCTGTTTTATTAACCTTGGTTTAGGCCTTTTCCCCCAATTTTACCCCATTAAGCGAATAAGTCCGCGCTTCTGTTGCTTGATTGGTCAATTGTTGGTTGGTGTTTAGCATTTTGCTTAATAAAAGTCTACGAAGGTCTTTCTCCGGTAGTCGTCGCAGCCATCATGACCATTCTATTCTGCGTCGATCTGTTTGCGTACTCAACTAATTTCCACAGGTCTATTTCCATTAATCGTCATATATCGCTTGATCCTACCCTGCGAAAGTAACTAAGTTTTTCGACCTACGGGTTGTATTCTGCTGGTCGTGCTCGAATCCCAACTTGTTTGGTAGCAGTAGTCCTTCTTGATTTTACATCCATATAACCTTATGCTACACTTTCAGTCATGGCCGTCGCGGAACCATTTTATAAACCTCAGACAACGCGTCTTAATCTCGGCCTTTCCTGTCTTATTGCGGCTGACGCCTTTGTTTCACCTTCCTCTTCCAATGAATCATCTCGCATACCTTGCACAGTGTCGTGCGTTTCTCGATTAATTGATCTTCGTCGCTTGCGTCATCCAAATATCGTGCGTTATCTTGATGCCCAATGCGATAAACATCGACGCATCTATCTTGTTACCGAGCATTACGCCTTTAATTTTAGTGAACTAAATCCTCCGGTCACAAGGTGGTCGGATTTCAACTGGCTGTTGAAACGATTTGATGAGTGTCTTTGTGCTCTGACCTACCTTGAATCCCATGGGATTGTACATGGGTGCCTAAGTCCATCATCCATCCTCATTGATAATTTTGGCAAAGTTAGGATAGCAGGCTATGGAATCTTATATGCTTCGCGGTGGGGTATGGATCTCGACTTTCCCATTGTGGATTTGCGCTACTCCTCGCCGGAAACACTTTTGTTTTCTGAATCGTGTTTGCGGCAAGACGTGTTAGAACCTCCTAGGCAACCTTGTCCCCTTGACTCGCGATCTGATCTTTGGTCAGTTGCACTGATATTCACCGAACTTTTGCATTTCCCCCTACAAATCTTCGGTCCAGAAATACTGCTCAAGTCGCTATTTAGTGCTCTAGATTCCGATCACTCTTTTTTCGGTAACATTACTTCGACCAAACGAGAAAATTTAACTCAGTTCAGTAAATCGATGAGTTTACTTGATGACATTTGCGAATTATGTCTCGTTCTTGACGCTCGCCATCGGCTGTCGCTGGCGCAAGTAGTGGCCAAGTTTTCGGAAAATTTTAAAGATTTCCAGGGAACTGATCTTCATTCAGGGATTATGGTGCGTCGAAACAATTTTAACCCCAGTATCGAATGCTTTAATTTTTTTCATTTTTCAATACTTTTATTCTATCGAACGTTCTTGTGTAGAAAGTACCAAATTTATTTAGAATTCTGAGCTCAACTAATCTGTAGCCTTATATTCTCGTTGAGAACATCTGGATTTCTCTCTCATTTTTAAGTCCGATCAGTTTTTTTGTCTTTCTTATTTAACCCTATCATTGAGATTATCTCGATGCTTCTTTACTTTTCAATTCAAATGGACCATTTTAGATGGCTGACGACGCACCAGGGGAGCCAAATGTGGAGAACAGGGAGTGGGAATCTTCCGATGACTGCGAAAAAGCTCTTCACTTTTTGCAAACTCGGGATGATCCTGCTGAGAGTTATTACTACTGGCAGTTAGCTGGTGGTGGCGTTGACTTAGCTTCCACTTTCCTCAAGGGGGTCAATGGCAGCGATTGTCTCCGACCGCCGATTCTTCGTCTACCCCTTTATTTCACCGGTCTTTCACCTTCAGAATATGCTTCGCGAGGTGGACCTTTGGAGCTCTGGTCATCTGGCAGTCAACCTGCTCGACTAAAGTGGGGCAACCCTTTCGTGTCTCCATGTGTTTTCTTTTCTCAAAAGGTGAAAAGTGTTTTAATCTTACAGGTTTTGTCGGACCATCGTTCCACTTCCAGCTGATCGCCTTCTCAAACGTCTTGCTCTCATGTCAACAAAGTCCCTTTATCCTCTTCTCTTTCCCCACTCGTATTCCTGTTTTGATGGAGATGAGGAAGGAAAATTTAGCGTAATTGATAGTCTCTCCCTGACCGGTGTTGAGGATTGTTGGCAACATCAGAATCGGAACATTTCGCTCTTGGGTCACCTACCCAAACACGAGCTTAGTGTTGCTGATTCCCATGAAGCAGTGGTTTTCCAACCAGTACTAGTGAAGCAGGCTGATGTAGAGTATCAAGTGATGCGAGTTCGCCTCTTTCGACGCCTCCTTGCGGGGATGCCGTCCACTGCGACACGGCTGCTTCTTGAGGCCCGATTCGATATTCCGCCCTTTCTCAGAACAGAGGTAAACTTGCTTCAATTTCTGAAATAAGAGATTTTTTAAAAGCGACCCTCTAGAAACTGTCATATACATCGCTCCAGGTTTGGGCAGCCCTTCTGGGTGTTGAATCGGGCTTTCAGGATGATACCAGTCGGCGAAAAGTAGAGGCAGCACTCTCCATCGCAACAACAGTGAGTTCGTCTCAATCGCGAATTTCCACGCAAGGTCTTGGTCTCTCCGACCAAGTAATGGGACAGATCGGTGTCGATTTACCACGCTGTCATGCCTACGATCTGCTGATTGGATCTCCGCTCGGACAGGAGAGACTTCGCTCAGTTTTGATGGCAGCATTACTAGCTAATGATGACCGGTTTGAATACACACAAGTATGTTAAGCAGCCTGAGGGTTAAATAATTTTGAGCTTATGTTGAATAATTTCTTTGGTGCTTCATTTTTCAAACTATTCTTGGATGGTACAACTAGTTGGAATTGTAGTCTTTGTTCTATCTAGTTGTGGTGTTCCTGGTTGTGTGGTGACGTAGCATCAGATATTGCTTACCTCGGGACAGGATTTAGCGTAAGCTCGTGGTGTCAGGTCCCTCTGTTAGATCTTTTCATATTAAAGGCACGCAAAATGTGTTTAACCAACTGGCCACATTTGTTTTGCTACCTTTTAGGGAATGGATTCACTAGCTGCCGTATTCACGCGTCTCTTCTTCCCATCTCCCGAGGTGGCGACACACTGCCTCTCCAATCTTTTGACCTCGCCGCGACTGGTGGGTTTCTTCTCCCGGCGCCGCTTCACTACTGGTCTGCAGGCCTACTTCGTCCTTCTCTTGCGACTCCTTGCTTTCCACGTTCCTGCTGTAGCGGCGCACTTTGCCCGTTTGGGGGTGCCCCTCACTGGGCTCACCGCTGGCTGGATTTACACCCTCTTTGCGCACTCCATGCCCTTGGATCGCGTCGAGCTCCTGTGGGATAGCCTCCTTGCAGCATCACCCTCCCTCCCCATGCTTGTATATGTGTCCATCTTCCATCAGGTCAATCAACAATGTCGATTACTGGTGGGCTTCTCATTTGCTTCTGCATAGCACCCCTTTGATTACGCTTGCTTTATCTGGAATCATTTAATTTTATCTCGCTTTAACTAGTTATTCCCTTTCTTAAATTACTTCTGCGGACCAAATGTGCTATAATTTTTTGTGCACCAAGTCAGGCCAGCGGGGTACTTTTGACCTAGAATGCCTGGCATTCCATCTCGTTTAAATACCCAAGATTACTTTGGCACTTCTTCCATTCTAGTTATGTATTTTCACGGACTCATTAATTTTTTGGGCAGGTATTAGCAATTGAGAAACTTTTCAATGCCCTATATTGCTAGTCTGTGGTTTAACCTTCCCATCGAGTTAGGAACTTCACTGCTCCACACTTGTTCGAGTTCCACATCTTTTCAAAAGATCATTCCTAGCAAGTCGCTTAGATGAAGTTCCTTTGAGGTGCGCATAATTTATTAACGATTTCGATTTGTCTTTTGATCTAACGCGATGTCGAAGGGATTTTTGCTCCCTTTTCAGGGTTATTATGCTTCAGTGGTTTGCATGCTTAAGCACTGCACGTCTTACTAAATAATCTTAGAGCTTTTCATCTCATAGGTTCGGACCTGGGAAACTCTTCATTTCTTACACCTAGTTAATCATAAGTACACTTTTCTTAAATTAATTCAAGATTGTCGGTCTTCTGTTTCACCGTTGATAGTACGGTCTTAGCATCACATCATCATTACTGAGTCTCTTTCTACCATGAACTTATTAAATTCGGCCAGCTGCGTGTTTTCATTTGCAGTCGCTGAATCAGGAGAGTATATGCACCTTGCTCTCAAACTTTCCTGACTTCAACCTCGACCAATGTCTTGAGGACGCTGTCAATTTTGCAGCTGTCACACCCACCAGCTTGACTGCTCAATCCATTAGCCGAGGCACGCCGGGAGGCTGGATGGACTCGCTTGCCTGCTCGCTCCGTGTTTTCAATCAGACACACAAAGAGATGCGTTCTGCTTGCATCGCATCAGGCTCAGCACATCACCGGGATGGATGCTGTGTGGTTGGTGCTCATGGTTCTTAGACAACGCAAACCGAATGATTTGCTTTTTAATAATCCTCTTTCTTGTATTGCAGAATTGTCTCTCCACGTTTCCAGCCCATGTGGATGTTTTGGCGCCAAGTACTATGGAGAAGGGCGATGTTGACTCGACGGGTGCTGGTGGTCCACCTCCCTCCCCTTCCGTGAGCTTCAAGCGCAGCGAGTTGGACTACCGAAGTATCACGTCTAGCCTGGTGCCCCTCATCGATCCTAGTGATGCTCTCCAGCATCTCTCTCGCACCGACTGTGTTTTAGTCGACATGAGGAGCAAGGAGGAGTACAGTAGGTGGGTCAGCCGTTTTTACCCATCATTTAGATTATACTCCCTCGTTGGAGCTTGAACTGATTTTTCTGTTACAGTGGGTGTTTAATGCAATCTATTCACTACCACCCTGTCGAGGTGCAATCAGGTATGACCTACTTGACAGGTAGTCAGTTGTGGTTAGAGGCCACGGCGGCACGCAATGCTACGAGTCCTCGTGGCTACACCTCAGCGCAATCGCCCGGTCTGGTAATGCTTCTCCAACATAGCACCGATTCTGTTGGTGCTACCGGCGAATGTGAAACTGGTAGAGGGGACGATGCCGCATTCACGCTCGCCTGCTATCTCATCCAACGGTCCATCGATCGCGTCTGCGTCGTTAAGGGAGGTGCGAGGGCCCTCTTCAGTCTCCCTCAAATTACTGACTACTTCGTCTCTCCCCACATCTAGTCTTTCTGCTGTTCAACTACTTCCTTTTAGTAGTTGATTTTACCTCAACTATCCACATCCTCCCATTTTATTTCATTTAACTTGTGATTTTTCTACAACTGAATGAAATTGACGATAGTTAGTTGGGTTTTCTTCGTTTCGCTTTGTGCTATCGAATGGCTTCTGAAATTGCAGAAACACCAATGGTGTACTTTTAAGTAAAATGCTTGAGGTACGGTGGTGGCTACGTTGTCTTAAATTTAGTCAATGACTTCTCGTGGTGATAACGGAGAGAGTGTGGATACGTCTTTGGAAGAGCCGGGCAAACGAGATCTCGATGCTTCCGCCCTTTCGTCAAATGTTGACAAGGTTGCCAGTTCAGTGGGTGGGTCTACACAGATGACTCCACCTCCGGGACCGGCAAACACTCAAACAACCACTTCCCTAGAACAGGAATTTGAAAGTGCTCCAACACCTGTTTCCTCTGCAGGACATGCGGGGGAGCTACCCTGTTCTGCTGCCTGTCCATCAGCCATCCAAGTAGTCACTCTCACAAAACATGGGTCGGAGAGTGCTGCGTCTTCCATTCCTGCATTAGCCCAAGTAGGAGATGCATCGACTTGTTCGTCTAGTTTACCGCAGAGTCAAGAGTCTATCCAATCAACGAAGGTCAATCCACTGAACGTAGTTTCGACTTGTGCTGGGTCCCATAGTGCTGGTAAGTGTCGTTCCATGTGTGGATCTATGTCTGTTTGAACATTTGTGGCATGTAGTCAAACCTAATCCCACTTCTCTATCCTGACTTAGTAAGCGATTCAATGTCTAGCGGCATCGGTTATTTCATGTTCATAACTTCGACTCTTAAGATTCAAATTCTATCTTCAGAGGGAGGTTTGGCTGTGGTACGTCTCTTTTGAGCGTCTGTAGTGTGCCCGGCATTAGAGTTTGAACTCCTAATTTCTTTTCATTTTCATATCTCCTTTCCAGGGACGATAAGTAGGTTTTGGCTCTTGAGAACATAGGAATTAGCACGCTTCCTGTTGGTTGAGGTTCTACAACTTACCGTTCATTTCTTCATTTCACCCGGGCTGCTCATTTGCCTTCGCTTCTCTATCTCGGCGTTTAGCATGCCCTTTTACGATTCAATCAGAATAAGTGCATCTTCATTCCCATCTTTAAAATGTTTGATTCTTATCCATTTGGTCATCCACTTGCAGCTTGCTGAAGCTCTGTCTCCACAGCCTTAAATAGTTATTGGGACAGTTTCAACAACTGATTTCCCTGAAGTTCTTTAATTCTAAATTAATTTCCAACGTGGATCTCGAAATGCGGCATCCATAAACATACATTTTTTTCGATACCGGCTGTGGACGCTAGACGCGCCACTATTTGCTTTTTGGTTACACGCTCTGATCTGCTTTTCCTTTGATTTAAGTTTACTCAAAATTTTGACCCTATTGCGTTTCTTTGAAGTAAACAAATTGAAAATCGTGAAACTGGAGGGAAAATTTAACCGTAAAGACGCTGGTGAGTTTTCGTTCCATGTTTCTGCAAAGTATTGCGTTTGATCTACGTGCCTGATGCCTGGATGAGAATCGACGCAACTGCTAGCCCCCTCCGGAAGTGGTCATAAAGCCAGATTTGAATGGTGTTGGTGCTGCAGGCTGGTTCAATCGCTCATGCGGGTGCTAGATGGCGCTAATGCTTTTCACGAAATGCGGTTGGGCGGGCCTCGTGTTTACGCCATCCGAAATAAGGCGAGAATGGAGATCGTATTTAGAGGAATTAACTCTTTGTTCCACCGTGATTTCTCTGGGGCGCAATATTTACGTCCGGTAGAAATTGGTGATACTCATGTGACCACCAAGGTCAGACCTCTCAACGGCTCGCTACCAAAATCAAGAGCTGGGCAGACAGCGCGCCACACGTCTGATAACATTCAGTGGTCACCTTTTTGTCTGAGAAACAATTTCCTCACTGTAATAATTGAAGTTAAGGTAGTTGTCACTCTCTCGCTCCATAATGCGTTGTCAGGGTCATGTGCACTAACCTTTACACTAGTATCCTTCACCCCTCTAAGTGACTAATGTCATTTTGATGGTTGCGCAGAGTGGCCTCCCTGTTAAGTGATTAATCTAGCGAAGGCCCTCAGTCACGGCCTTGAGAACACGATGCGTGCTGTACTTTACGAACCTCCTTTCCAATTATTGCTGATCCTTTTTTGTCTTGAAAACTAAACGAGTCGACTTTGAAGATGTTTTCCTTCCTTCCCAGGCAGGCTCAAGTATGCAACTATGCCAAAGGAAATGGAAGTAGAAGACGTTGTGCATTTCGTTCGGGATAAGGAAACCGCTGGTTACCTTTGTGCGTTTTACTCGCTACGTCCTTTATTCCTCCTCTCCACACTTTGTGTCCTGTCACTCAGTCAAAAGTGTTTGTTTTCCCCTTAAAAGTTTCTAATGTTCGTATCTGAACAATGCCAATCCTCTCTCACATTAGTGTATCATGGGGTTCCTTCCTTACCTTATCGTTACCGATCTTTCAACAGACGATATATCAGAAGGCATTCTGGACCATTACCCTATCGTCGATCCAAAGTCTAGTTCGTCTGGAATTTCGATTTTGTCGCTATGCTTTGGATCTAGTGGGCTGGGTGTTGATGACGCCTCTGTTCTGTTTTGCTACTGCTGCTTTCTCCTTTCGGTCCTCCTGCCTTTACATCTGTGTATTCCAGCTGATTTGAAGGAGATTTTTTGGTTATTCTTTCCGAGGTTATGAAAGAAGCTCAAGGGTATAGCAAATGTCGCTCTTCCTGACACCCTTTTATTGGAGTCTTGCCTTATCAAGACGTAGTTGGAGTTTTTTTACCATTCACCGCTATCTCTTCTGCTCTTCTATCAAAGCGGAAGAGCTTCTATCATTGCTATGCTTCTAAGCTTTATCACATCTGCTCATGGGAGGCCACGCGCAGTAGCCTTTCTTCGCCTCCATTCCTGAAGAGGTTTTTTCTATGATGTCATTACTAATTCACCTGTTTAAATTCCACTTTAATGCTGGTACACCTCGCTTTATGATCTGAGTGCTCACCGAGGTGTGAGGCTTTCAATGAGCCGTAAATACAACCCTGCTTTTGTTCAGTCGGTGCGTTGATCGCGACCATTTTTGTTAGTAAAAAAAATGTACTTCGATATTGCAGGTGTCGTGGGGACGTCCGAACCCTCTTCACCCGGTAACTTCACCTGCTCGAAGTCCCCTGTAGGACGTCAGCTTGCTTATTCAGACCTTGCTGGAATGCTTCAAGCGGCTCAATTTGGCTTTAAATGTTGTTTGGCTTGTTGGTAGTTTGGACACTTTTCATTCCATTCATTATGGTCGCTATAAACGATCGGGCGATTCTGTAGAATTCTCTCCCTTCCGCATGCATTTTTCATTCCTTTGTGTTTTCTTTAAAACCTGGCCCTCCCGTATTCGCTCTTACACTTCAAAAATTCTAAGTGAAATTCTAATTCCATTTCACAGAAACAACAGACAAACCGGAAACATCTCCGTTCAGTAAGACTTCTTTTTCGAAATTTCTCATGTCGTGCCGTTGCAAATAGCCCCATTCTATTTAAATTCTCTAATTTTTTCAGTGGACTTAAAACATTTTCATCGTTCCGTGTTACTGTATTTCTGTAACTACATTAGTTTCTTTTAAACGTCAGTTAAAAATTGCATTTTACTTTCTTGTCGCCTGTAGAAGTGCCCAAATCGCCTGCTCCCAGTACGATTCGGTTTCCATTGCTCTTCCTTTAAGTGTTTTTGCTGCCACCGCAACTGGATGCACAGTTGGAAGTGTTCAAATTATCGCCAACACTGCTCTTCCACTTTTGTCGAACCTATCATCTTAGCTGTTTACAACGCTCTGAGTTGGACCCCTCTTTTGCCATCCACCTTGCTCTCTGGTCTCACGCAAGTCGTAGCGCTTTTTCCATAAAAAGCCCACAGCAGGACTTAATTTTACGACGCCTTAGTGGCGAAACTGTATGAAATTCCATTGGGTATATGCTTCCAATATAGGCCGCTTTCGGTTGTCTCTTTTGCACCGCAAGGGGACGAGGTCACAGTATCAACCGCTCGCCTATTTACTCCTCGTTTGGCACTCTATTTGCATTTGTTTGCTGTCTTTACGATCATTCTGCGCAAATGACTCCATTATACTATCGCCGCAACCATGTTAGAGTCCCGGTCCCAAACAAGTGGTAAGATTTTTTCCCCTGCTAGAAATGCCCCCGCTGTTGATATGTTCTCATGAAATAGGGAGTGAGCTCTCACGGGCAAATATTTGACCCTACCTGGTCGACTCAGTTCAAGCGCAAAGCAACGAGGCTCTTTCGATTCAGTGCTTTCTTGCGAAACCGCTTTATCCTCCCTTTTTAATCGCTTTGCATATTGCACATCCCGTAGGTGCACTTCAACCCCTGACGTCGAGTACGATTTAACTTGTGATCATGCTTGTAAAGCGTCCGGTTGAAGCACTGTCAAGTTGACGAAGGTTGCAATTCATAACTGTCGGAGTTGAATGTGATTGTATCCGCGTTATTGTCATTGCTACAAGACGCTCTTAACTATCGCTAAATGTTCACTCTAATGTTACAGGATCGGTGCGCGTTAGCCATCCACTGACTCCAAGTAAGATTTCATTCTCCAAAAAATGCTCTTAAAGCGTCCGTTTGAGGAGCTCGCATTGGTTCCTCTGTCCCTTCCTTGCACAGTTGTTTGAGACACGCATTTATGTTGAAAACATTTATCCGACTCCGGTCGGTGTTCCATTCACCTCCAGTCATTGCAGTTGTTTTCGCATGTCCATTCCCCGTAGCCTCACTACATCGTCTTCCCTTTTAACGCGTCAGGGCCGACACTCACAGGTCAACCGTCAAAGTCGAGTAAGTCATCGCTTGTGCAGTAGTTGCACCGAACACTTCTGCCATCTCCTCTGTACTGTCTGTTGTTCTGGTATGCTGGACGAAGGCGTTTCCACATCCATCCGACTTAGTTATGCTTCATTTATTTCTGTTTCTACCTATGCCAAAATTTGTGCTCGAATAGTGGCGTTGTTTGGTTTGTGAGCTGCTTATTTGAGGTGCTGCGATTGAATTGACGGTTGTAGTTGCTGCACTTAGCGGAGAGTTGACTGTATGATCCCATGTGTACGAATTGTTGGGAAAGGAGGTGGAACAGTTGAGGATAGTAGAATTTTCCACCTTGTTTTGTTTTTTGATGGTGCCATTTATTCACGCCTCGTTTTCGTCCATCTGCCCCCAACTTCATTTCCCATCTTACTGGCACAGGACCGGTGGGCAAAGATCAACCATCAACGTCGGGTAAGATGCTGCTTTTGGATTCGTATTTTTTTTTGCGCCCCTACGTCAAACTCGGCTGGCGATGCGTAGTGGTGGGCTTCTCATGAATTTTTGCATGGATTTAATTTCGGTTGTTTTCCTTCGCTCTTGCACTGATAAATTACAACAATGTTAACCGATTTATTGCTACAGGACCGCTAGACGTGGTAGAGTCATCAACGACTAGTTGACTTTTACTCGTAAAATTGTACCACCAAATGCTCATGTCATTTCCCCTGTTTTGCCACTTACTCCCGCTTGATGGGCTCAGTTAGGGTGCAAAGTGATTTGGACGTGGTCGTGTTTCGTCTTGTTTACTAATGTGAGTATTTTGTCATCTTTCATGGCGCGTTTACCTAACGCAAAACGTCTGTCTTAATGTGGCAGTCTGTGCTCCTGCTCCAGCCACTAATTCCAATTAAGGGCTCAAACGTGACATCATTTGCGAACTCTCTGTTTGACGTGCTCTGATTAAATTGGCTGCTCTACTTGTTGCGCATCTCGAAGGGCTGAGTGTATTGTCCCATGCGTACGACTTGTTGGGATAACGGGGGTCGGGGAGAGAGGAGTGGGCGATGGTAAGGATCTCCACTTTTATTTTGTCGTTCGCAGATGTCATATTCCCTTTCATATGCTTACAATTGCATTTCCTGCCTTACTGCTGCAATACTGATGCGTAATGACCAACTACTATTTCCAAGTAAGATTTCGTGTTCAAGCGTGCTTTTGGGGCGCCATTTTGTGATGACCAAACTATTTCTCTTGTTCCACGTCCTTCAAATGGCTGGTAAATGCAACCCGTTCACATCTGACTAACCACGCTGTAGTGCAACATTGTCTTCTGGTTTTCCATTCATTGCAGTTGCCTTCGAACTTTCATTTTCCATAGCTCCACCACAGCGCCTTCCATTTTAATGCCACAGGATCGGCAGACTTGGGTATAGCATCAACATCGAATAAGATGTCGCTTTAAGAATCGTGGCTTTTTTTTGCTGGCACTCTATTTGTTTAATCCATGTTTGACATTACATCATTTCGACTGGCAGGGCAAAGTTATGGGAGTTCCCAAAGGCCTCAGCTTGGCTTCTGCTTGGGTTGTTTTCATTCGCTTTTTAAGCGTGAATCGCAGTAAATCTAGTCCTTTTACTGTTTGAAGTTGCAGGCATGGGCCAACTATCTCCATTGAGTAAGACGGCATTCTTGCGACTGTAACATCAAAGGCTCAATCTCTTGCCCTTGTTTGATGCTCTGCCCATTCTTTTTAGCTAGACAGTAGAAGTGGGTTTTGCGTGATTTTATTTGCTTTGACCGTCCCAGTAGGCCTCATTGTGCAGTGTTACATTCATTTGTCATCAAAATTTCCATTTTTCTGTTGCAGAACCAT